TCTTGGGTGATCGTCTCATGCACTGTAAATCAGTTTAATGTTTCTTTTTCTTCTTCAGGCAAGCCAACCTTTTTCTCTTGTTCCAGATACAACTTGAGACCCTCTTCTTACCTTAGTCGCATCTATAAAATAAAGACCCCCCCCCCCCCCCCGGGGGGGGGATGTGATTATTTACACAGATTGTTCAGAGTCAAGAGGCAAAAGAAGTGCTTTGGGTTTCTTAGCAAAAGTTAATGATCGACGTTTGGTGCAGCAGAGTCTAGCATACGAGACCACAACATCCAGCTAAAGAATGGAGGCGGAGACGGTCACTGCAGCTTTCCGCTGGTTAAAGAACACGTCACACACGCACACACACACACATTGTTATTGTAACTGACCCAGAAAGCATGCTAAGGAAGGCCAGGACAGGAATGCTTCGTACAAAGTGGCATGCTTCACTGCGGAGGACACGGGTGAGGAGTATTGTCTGGATTGTTTCTCCGGGATACGCCGGTGTGTTGGGAAATGAACAGGCAGACAGACTGACTGGCTCTGCACAGCTTGGTGGAATACTGATGCTTGATAAGGCAGACGTGGTTAGTGCCTTGTGGAAGAGCGTGTACAGTTTGGAGGAGCAGATGAATCACCACAGTCTGGTGAGATTGATGCAGCGGGGAGTGACGAGGGGTTTTGGCAGATGCACGAGGCTCAGAGGAAAGTAAAGACAGGCGTTTAATCAGAATACTACTGGCACCATTAGTATTGGAACTCTGCGCTGGCTGCTAAAGATGGAGACGGCGCTCTTATGGGAATGCCCCGAGTGCTTGATGTCGGTTCTTGAATCAACTCAACTCAACTCAAAGACCTCTATTCTACGCATTCAGAAGTATTGGGCACATAGGGCTAGACCTATATTTTTTTTTACCAATCGGTACTTGAGGGATGGTGGGGGGGAGGTGGGGGGGGGGGGTGATGTGATCAGCATCACACCGGCTGCCTTTTCTTTCCATGACTATTCTTAGTACACATTCAACGCTGGGTCGACATCGGAGTCAAGCTCATTTGTGACAGAAACGTCCAGCTCTGTCAGGACTCGAACCCAGACTTTATGGATTCTCAGGCGAGAGTCTAGCCGCTACACCGTGGCGGCGGTCATCTAGTATATAGTATGACACTTAAATTTGTATAGACCAATCGACACTCGATAAGCCATGTGGTCAACATGGCGCTGCGGCCACTTTTACTTCCCTGGACATTTCACCGAACCATTATAGGCAGAGTCGACCATGGAGGTAGGTGTTTGAGAACAGTCCGCTTCGCTGATTTCTTCTTCTTCTTGGCGGTCAGTTGCTGTCAATTTCTGCGACTGTTTGTCCACTTCTGGACTTTAGTCTTGTACTACAACTTCCGTTTTAAGGATCTACATTATTTGTATGCAGACTGTTGGCTCTTCGCTTCTCAGGCAGAGGCACTCTTTCGACCTAATTAGTCAACTATTGCTTCTAAAGCCCCCCCCCCCCCCCATCTCATTTTGTCACCTTTTCATGGTACTCTGCTTTATCTCATATAACCCCGAAGAGAAGCTGAACGACTGAGATGTTCAAATGGGTTTAAAGTCATGAGTAAGGCGGGACTGTTTCTTCTTTGAGCCCAGAACCAGAGCGCCATGTTTCAGCTCTGCATTTTAGGAATTTTCATGTCACTTGTTCTTATAATTCCGTTTACTGTGTCGTTCCTTGTTGGTCGCTTTTGTCCATTGTTGATTACAACGGTTTTCCCCCCGAATGTGAATGTCTAAACTACACTGAGCACTGAGCCTGTTGATGTGGTCCACTGTGTCTTATAACTTCTACTCGCTTTCTGATCGTAACATTGCGGCATCAGCATTTCTTTTATGTTTTTTAAAATTAAATTATTATTAATATTCTATTATTATTCAGTCCAGGCAATTTTCCAGTTTTCTTAAAAAGGTTTTATGTATATAAGTTCAAAAGACTCAGGGATAACACACATCCGTGACGCACTCCTCTTTTTATCTCTGTTTGTGGTGGGGCGATGTTATCTTGTGTCTGTTGTTATTTGTTTCCAGTACAGGTTACTGATAATTCTGATATCCTTCACATCGAATATTCCACAGCGATAAGTGCTCACGCAATTCCTGAGGATCCGCACGTACCACAACAACCGGAACCAGAACACACAAAACAACAACAACAACCACTCATGCAACCCAAGGCAAAGAAGACAGCATCACAAAAATTTCAGTAAGCTTACTGTGTATTCGCTGTGCTTTCACTGAATCAGTTTGGTTTTTATTCAATCCCATATTGACGGTAATACTTTAGCTGTATAAAATGCTACGATAGCTTGGGAAGAAAGAACAATAATAGAGGGTATGGTAATGGGTCGAAGAGGCAGGGGCACGCCAGCGTGATGGTGGACACAGACCATGAGAGACCCTCAGCAGTAATGTTGAGTTAGTTGCGTGCTGATCCAACCCCAGCAACTTTTGGCTGTTACGGATTTCTAGGCATATTTTACGTGCAGTAGTTTGCCTTGCCACTAAATGGCATTCTCTCGATACCACTATTAAAACAATGCAAGGCCGCCTGCTTCAAAATCGTATGCAGCTGGGACATGAAGCACTATGAAGCGCAGTTTCTTCGCAGTTTTCCCTCTACGGCAGACTTAGGACACAGCAACTATCGTCCTAATGAGAAAGTTATTTCAGTCCATCACAGTATATGAAAAACGGGTGCAAGGTAACCACTATTCGTTTTCGGCCCAAAACTTGAATGGACACACATATACACCGATGGATCATTGGAGGGAGCAGACAAAACTGGAGGAGCTGGATCGGTCATCATGCTGCAAGATGGGACCACAGTAGAAACGTCATGTGCCTCCGGAAGACTCTCAACAAACTTCAGAGCAGAGCAGCAAGCAATTATTGATTCAGCCAAAAAGCGCGAGGAAAGAAAATTAAAAACAGCAAAATTGTTTTCCTTTGTGACTGCATGTCTGTCCTCCAGGCGACTCATAGGGATCCACGAGACAACATGGAAAGAGAACTGACCCGTCAGCTAAACAGACTCACAGAAAACAATCAAATCGTTCTCTAGATCCCGGCTCACCGTTTCATACCAGGAAATGAGTTAGTAGACAGACTTTGCAAAAAATGGAACAAAGGAGAAAGAACATGCCCATTCATTGTCATTACCAGAAATCAGAACACTTATCAAAGGAAAATACAAGGGATTGTGGAGAGAACAAACTAACAGTAAACATCCACAAGACCCCATCAGCAGACTCAACAAAAAGCAACAAACAATTTTCCGTCTACGAACAGGACACCGCAGGCTCAACTACCACATGCATAAAATAAAGATTGTACAGTCCCCCCAGTGTGCCTGTGAGACAGGAGCACAAACAGCTGTGCACATTCTGCAGACCTGCCCACTGTACCTGCAACTTCGAAAAGACACATGGCCTCAAGAGCAAAGTGTGCAGAGCAAGCTATGGGGAACCATGCAGGACCTGCAGCTGACATGTGAGTTCATAGAGGCAACCCACCTGATGGTCTGATCTGAGCATACGTAACTGAACGCAAAGAAGGAGAGGAGTATTCGGCCCGACCGCAAGTATTCGGCCGAATACCGAATAGTTATTAAGTCCACTAGTCGGCACCGAAGCGAAAACGTAGCGAATATTCAGTACAGCCCTAATAATAAGTGACAAAAGATTAATTAGTCAACACAAGATTATAGTGCATCTCAGAGGTCATACCTCATACTTTGAAAATTACCTAAAAAAAAAACTGCTTTACAGATCAATAGGAATTTTTGCGTTTGGCTTTTGATTTCCCACGTCCTAATAATTTTATAAATTATAATTGCACAGATCCTGCTGTTTTCTTAAGGCGGCGAATTTCTTTGATCTTTAACTAATAATTTGTGTAACTCTAAACATGGAATATACAATAACCGACTCACATGGAGATTGTGTGGAATTCGGTTCAGATGTGAAGCGATGCGTGACGATAGCCTATCACACACACATATTGCAGTGCGAAAGATGCATGTTCTTACTAATTTGTGTATTTCTATGGGACAGAATGTTTGGAATTTGATTTCTTAGAGCATGTATCTTTCCTGTTGCAACATACGCCTGTGAGACCTGGACACTTACTAAACAAACTGAAGAGCGCATAATGCCTTTGTATGCAAATGTTATAGACGGGTTCTACAAATATCATTGGTAAAGAAAAGAACAAATACATCCATAATTCAAGACCTGATATTGAAGAAGATTGGCTATTAAAGACGATAAAACACAGAAAAGTGAAATATTTTGGTCACTTGAAACGTCACAAAAGTTTAGAGAGAACAATAATGGAGGGGTATATGCCTGGGAAGAGAGGAGGAAGAAGACCAAAGAGAACATGGGTGCAGGATGTGGCGGATGATCTCCAGATGGGTGTACTTAGTGTAAATGGTTCATCCGGCCTTGCTTATAAATGAAGCAACGATTAATAATAATCATTTCACATTATGCCAAAAGGCTCACATCAATTACCACTCCAGTGTGGTTAAAATGTAGTTATTTCTCTTCAAGCAATTACGCAACTTTCATGTCTCAGTTCAGAGAGAAATGCAATTTCTTCTGCAAACAGAAAATTAGCTTTAAGCGACTTTGCCTTAGTGAGAGATATCATCATCACCATGTGCCCTGCCACCTGGCGTAGGCGCTCATACGTCTCCACAGATCACGATCCCTGGTTGCCTGGAACAGCTCTTCTGAGGATATCTCTCTATGCCATCGTCTCAGCCCATCCAGCATCATCTCTCTTGGTCTGCCTCTACCCCCTTTTTTTAAACCGATCTTTCCAGTCGTCACGATGTTCTCAATGTCTCTCTTGTGCCAGAGATATGATTGAAACCACCCGCCCTCCTTCCCAAAATTCCCAAATAAAAAAAAACTACCACAAAATTTAATGCTGACAACTCTTTATTTTACAGGCACATTGGCAAAAGCACAGAACGTTTCTTTGTCTTAGAGGAAAATAACGATGAAAGCGTGGCGGCCTGGGAACACCGCCGCATTCGAATGGCCAGCTCCATTGGGAACGGCATCAAGGAAAACTACCTGAAAACCAGCAAGACTGACTTAGCCGCGTTTGTGGAAAGTTCGTCCAGGGACACAGTGAAAACTGGTATACTTCTGGATCCCAACAGGAAACGAAGAAAGAAGTCTGTCTTATTGCTTTCATTGACGGCGCTGGGAAATCTTGTAAGTAGATCTTGTTTGTGCTTTTTGTCTGTTAATTATTTTTTACAACAAATTATTTTTCAATTTTAACCCCTTCATTATTTGGTTTTCAATTTTAATTCCCAAAATCGACGGAAATCCGGGAGGTCCCGGGAAATCCAATATTCTAGTGGTGTTGTGGTGTGAAGTGAACAGTGAAACTATAATTTGGTGGAGCAGTAGCCAGAGAAGGCCTACGTGCCCCGAAACTGATCAGTGTAGGTCCCTACCGCCTCAGAGACACTGACTTAGCCGAACCTTAACCCTAACCCCAACCCATTACACCCCTAGATGATTGAACTTTTTATTTTCCCGAAATTCCTTTATTTAAGGTGAATTAAAATTAAAGTACCCCTTGTTCATCAAGGGAGCCAAAGTAGTCTAGCGGCTAGACGCTCGCCTCTGGATCGGAAGGACGTGGGTTCGTTACCTGACGGAAAGATTGAACTTTTTTATTTCCCCGAAATTCCTATTTTAAGGTGAATTAAAATTGAAGTACCCCTTGTTCACCAAGGGAGCCAAAGTAGTCTAGCGGCTAGACTCTTGCCTCCTGATCGGGATGTCGTAGGTTCGTGCCCTGACGGGAGCCGCACTTTTTTCTTTAAAAAATGACATTGGCTCCCAGGTCGATCCAGCCTCGAATGGGTACCAGGTACAGTCCTGGGAAGTAAAGGCGGCCGGCGTGATGCTGACCCCCCCCCCCCACACACGAACCATTTGGCCTATAAAATAAAAGTCTAGCCTTTTTCACCCAAAACGCATGATGGCCTGGAAAAGGGTCCTTTTACTTGTATATTGTTCAACACAGCTCTTCATTACAGTCTGGAGAGAATGGTGCTACAGGAAGTGGTCAGGAGATGAGGCCCTGTCTGTCTCAGTACGCAGAGAAAAGACAAGATGGACGTATAGCCAGAATGCTATTGGTACCACAGGCATGGGAACTGTGCGCTCGCTGCTGAAGATGAGCAGTTAGCACTTATGGGAGTGTCCTGAATGCTGTGAAGTCGGTTCTTAGCTCAGCTGAACTCAGCTCATTGGTGATAACCATGTAGTCTCCCGGAACTTGTGGTGTAGGGCTGGTTCTTATTAATAGGCCCCAAACCAGATCATGTGTTGTCCCCGTGTGGGTTGCCGGGCCCTGTTATGGGACAGATCAGTAATAGCTCCACAGCCTTTCCAACAAACATGTCGTAAGAGTAAACTAATCGGGGACTTCTTTCGAAGTCAGAGTGCATCTGGCTGAGAGTTGATGAACTAATGAATCAGCAGTCTGCATACAGATAATCCAGATCTGTTAAACGGATGTACAAGAAACACTCAGGTACTTGAGCAAGATTCCAGTCCACAGTTGGATCACCAACTAGAACGCCCTGCCGGAGTTCATAGCCGGTGAACGCCAAGAAAATATAAAAGAAAAAGAAGAAGAATTTGCAGTAAAGTAATATTTGTTATGTTTGGAGTCCTTTCAGATACTCTGTAAGCTCTCATACGGAAGACCCGAGCTCGATCTCCGGCAAAGTGATGGAGTTTTTTTTTTTACTTCTATCGGGGCAATATAAACATGCTAACTTGCGCAGTACGTGGCAACAGCACTAGGCATCAGGTTCTTAATCCTCAGGTCTGTCGGAGAGAGGAAACGTGTCCTGAATGTTTAGCACTGAAGTAGTTAACCACACAGCAAGACCGAGCAAGAGATATTGTGTCTAAAATAATAAGAGGCACATCAAAGTTGTAACTTGCACAGACACTATAGCCAGTATGGACAGTTTGAACAGCTACTTTAGTCAAGACAGTTTGAACAGCTACTTTAGTCAAGACAGTTTGAACAGCTACTTTAGTCAAGAAAGTTTGAACAGCTACTGTAGTCAAGACAGTTGGAACAGCTACTTTAGTCAAGAAAGTTTGAACAGCTACTTTAGTCACGACAGTTTGAACAGCTACTTTAGTCAAGACAGTTTGAACTGCTACTTTAGTCAAGAAAGTTTGAACAGCTACTTTAGTCATTGTTGTTCATTTCAGACTAAAACAAGACCTGGAGGGAAGACCACAGACAGGAAAGGGTGAGCGTTGCTTTAGCAGATGTTGATTTTCTGTTTAATCTTTCTGAGTTAGTGAAATATGTTTTAACCCTTCTTATGTTTGTAGAGTTCGGGAAATATGTTTTAAAGTATCTGTGTTTGTAGAGTTCGGGAAATATGTTTTAAAGTATCTGTGTTTGTAGAGTAAGGGAAGTCTATATTAACCTTTCTATGTTTGTAGAGTTAGGGAAATCTATTTTAACCTTTCTGTGTTTGTAGAGTTAGGGAAGTCTATTTTAACCTTTCTGTGTTTGTAGAGTTAGGGAAGTCTATTTTAACCTTTCTATGTTTTAGGGTAGGAGCCTGTCCTACTACTAGGCGCGTCCACCAGGTGGCGGATGGTGGAAAGGCCTCTAGATATAGAGGTTAGCCACGAATATATTGAATAAGTGGCCGTGGACCAAAACAGGTGATGGTCATTGAGAGGAGGCGAGTTAGTTGGTGGGACAGCTAAGCTATAAAATACCTCAAAACTCTACGACATGGCCATCGGCGGGTAAGAGGCGCCATAACCTCTCCCCCCTGCTGCCTTGCAGGGTAAGTCTCTTTAGGCAAAAGCTATTTTTAGTCAAACCATATACAAACCGGCGGAAGTCAAGGGGAAACCACCGCTGTACTATCCCAATAAAATCACGCCTCAAAATAATACATCTTCAGAACATGCTGCAGGAGATCGAAGATTATGGAGAGGCATGATCGCCCACGCCAGGCACATGATGATGATGATGTGTGTTAGAGTTAGGGAAGTTTTTTTTAACTTTTCTGTGTTTGTAGGGTTGGGGAAGTCTCTTTAATCTTTCTATGTTCGTAGAATCAGGGAAGTTTGCCTAATCTTTCTGTGTTCGTAGAATCATGGAAGTTTGCCTAATCTTTCTGTGTTTAAGAGTTAGGAAAGTCTGTTTGATCTTTCTATGTTTTAGAGCTAGAAAGATCTGCTGAATCTGTATGTGTTTTTAGAATTAGGAAAGTCTGTTTAAACTTCCTGTGTTAAATCTATGAAAATCTATGGAATCTTTATGTTTTAAGAGTTAAGATGTGTTGACTAGCATTGTTTCGCTGATATCCTCTGCAAGCTATGAAGCCCTTTGTTTGAGGAGAACAAAGAATAGACCCACCACCCTCCATATAGCATGTCATAAAATGCTACTAATTAGGGGTTTTCTTTAATCTGATGTTTAGGGCGAAAGGCACAGATATCGCAGCCTAGCTGTGATTTATCCATATACACAACACACCCTGCCAACTACTCTTTTAAGGGCTAGAAAAAAAAAAGAACAAGAAAAAAAAAAGAGTGAGACGGGGAAGAAGAAGAGGAAGGAGGAGGTGGAGAAGAAGAAGAAGAAGTTGTAGTAGTAGCAGTAGCAGCAGCAGCAGTAGAAAAAGAAGAAGAAGACAAAGAAGAAGGAGGAGGAGGAGAAGAAGAACGTTTCACTGACAGTAAGCTTGTCCACAGAGCTAGCAGACGATCACTATCTGAGCAACCCCGAGAAGCTGATGAAAAAGATATTGTAACAGCTATAAAGGAAACGGTGAGTAGTGTAATATTTTAAATTACTTTAGTATAGTAAGTCTAGCAGCACCCTTTTGTTAAGTATATTGTTGCAACTTTGAAGGAAACAGCTAGTGGTATTATACGTTTGTCAAGGTAATACGTGTAGCAAACAATGTTCTAATAAGGGTATTGTTGCAACATTGAGGGAAACAGCAAGCAGTATTACAAGTACTTCATTCTAGTCTAGTAAGTGTAGCAAACAATGTTCTAATAAGGGTATTGTTGCACCATTGAAGGAAACAGCAAGCAGTATTACAAGTACTTCATTCTAGTCTAGTAAGTGTAGCAAACAATGTTCTAATAAGGATATTGTTGCAACTTTGAAGGAAACAGCAAGTAGTATTACAAGTACTTCAGTCTAGTAAGTGTAGCAAACAATGTTCTAATAAGGATATTGTTGCAACTTTGAAGGAAACAGCAAGTAGTATTACAAGTACTTCAGTCTAGTAAGTGTAGCAAACAATGTTCTAATAAGGGTATTGTTGCAACATTGAAGGAAACAGCAAGCAGTATTACAAGTATTTCATTCTAGTCTAGTAAGTGTAGCAAACAATGTTCTAATAAGGATATTGTTGCAACATTGAAGGAAACAGCAAGTAGTATTACAAGTACTCCAGTCTAGTAAGTGTAGCAAACAATGTTCTAATAAGGGTATTGTTGCAACATTGAAGGAAACAGCAAGCAGTATTACAAGTACTTCATTCTAGTCTAGTAAGTGTAGCAAACAATGTTCTAATAAGGATATTGTTGCAACATTGAAGGAAACAGCAAGTAGTATTACAAGTACTCCAGTCTAGTAAGTGTAGCAAACAATGTTCTAATAAGGATATTGTTGCAACTTTGAAGGAAACAGCCAGTAGTATTACAAGTACATCAGTCTAGTAAGTGTAGCAAACAATGTTCTGATAAGGATATTGTTGCAACTTTGAAGGAAACAGCCAGTAGTATTACAAGTACTTCAGTCTAGTAAGTGTAGCAAACAGTGTTCTAATAAGGGTATTGTTACAACTTTGAAGGAAACAGCAAGTAGTATTACAAGTACTTCAGTCTAGTAAGTGTAGCAAACAGTGTTCTAATAAGGGTATTGTTGCAACTTTGAAGGAAACAGCCAGTTGTGTTTGTACTTCAGTATTATAGTAAGTGTAGCATACACCGTTTAGATAAGGATATTGTTGCAACTTTAAACGAAACAGTGAGAAGTCTCCGCGTTTGGGTTCTAAAGGAATTGGAAGGGTGGGATTGGAGGGTCCGTTTTGGTGACAAAGAATGAACCCTCTCCCCCCCCCCCCCGCCCCCTCACTTCTCCTCCAAATAAGCATGTCGGAGAAGGCGACTAATTAGGGGTGTTTCTGTCAAAGTCGGATTTAATCTGCCTGAGCGGTCAAGAAGAAACAGTTTACATATAAATAAGCCAGCACTGTGAAAGAAATGTGTATGCAAACTCAAGTTCTAAATCAAGACCAAAGTCCAGAAGTGGACGAACAACCAGGACTTTTCACTGGAGTTTAGAGCTGGTAAACGTCAAGAACAAGGCGTGCAGTTGATATACCTAGGAGCCGGTTGATGAGGATGTTGTTGTTGTGAGAACTTTCAAGGAGACTGTGATAAAATTGATAGGCATTTTGTTATCGTGAGTCTTGTTGGGAACATGGCTGGTAAAATGACATTATGGTCTGCTTCACAAGTCATGACCAGCTTTTAAAATCTGTCTCTGAAAAAAAAAAGTTTTTGTAAATTGTTGAAATTTGGGCATTCAGCTTTTATAACTCCCCCCCCCCCCCCCCCCCCCCCCAAAAAAAATGTAAACAGTGTCTAGTTTTTAATTTATCCTAATTTGTGGCGTATTTAAAAATAATAAAAATAAAAAATAAAATAAAAATAAGACACAGATTCAAAGCAAACAGTTATACACTTACAGTTAATTTAGTGACGGAAACACTTTTCAAAACATCATATCGCAAGATTGTCATAGGTGTTTCACTCTCAGGTGGTCACCTCCAGCATGAGTCTCCTGTGAGAGGTGCATTTTCATTGTATGCTGGATAAGTTATAAAAAAATTACTACGTATCACTGCGCATGTGAATTGATTTCCATCTCCACGCGTGTATCAATTACTGTATATTCTTGGGGGTGGGGGGGGGGGGGCAGTTTTTATTGAAACAAAGATAGAAGAGATTAGCCACTTAGAGAAAACAGCAGCACCTGCACAATTGAAAATTTTAAAATCAAAAGGACATGAGAAATAGGAAAACCACATACACAGATTCGTGTTGATGTTTGTTGAAGCTAGAGGACACATGTTTTGAAATGCGCTATAGTGAACTAAACTGAAGCTACAATACCTCGAACATAAATCATTCTTCAGGAGAAGTAGATCTCACTGGTCCTGCCTCTCGTGTGGAGTGATATCTCTCCTACTGGAAAGGCTGTTGTGACAACTGTTGAATGCTGCTCCCTCCGAGACCAGACAAGTGGAACACCATGTACGGAGGAAAAAAAACAGCTTGTGAAAACATGTAAATTCCACCACATGGCATTGGGCCAAAGGGCGAAAGCTCATGCGCTGCTGGATCAACAACAACAACAACGTAACAACTCTTAAATAAAACGAAGAGTGTTATAGATTGTTAGGAAGCTGTAGTGGTCTGGTGGTAAGACGCTCGCTTGTGCATCGCAGGGTGGTGGATTCAGGGCATGACAGTCAGACTTTTGTTTCTTAAAAAAAAAAAAAACCTTGTCTCCCGGGTCGAACCAGCCCTTTTACCAGGTTCAGTCTTGAGAAGTAAATGCGATGGCCGATTGGTAAATAAAACATGTTTTGAGCCCTATATGCACAAGACGTCCGAAGACTGGAAAGGGGTTCTTTATTATACAGATAATTCGATGTATTGAGTGTGCCGGGGTCACTGTTGATAATGATGTTGTAACATTTTTCAAGGAAACGGAATATTTTAACATTTTCACTCATTCGTTGTTCTGTTGTGCCATTATTTCTCACATGGGGATCGTAATCAATTTTGTGTTCACATTCTAAAAAGAAAAAAAAAAAAAACACTATTAGGTACTTACTAATTACCCAAACGAGAACAGCCGTGGTGTAGCGGCTAGATGCTCGCTGCGGATCGGAAGGTCTTGGGTTTGGGTATTGACAGCACTTTTTTTTTTTTAAATGACCTTGCCTGCCAGTTCGACCCAACTTTGAATGTGTAACAGGTGGAGTTCTGGGATGCAAAGGCGGCCATCATGATGATGACCACATCACCCACTGAGTGCTGATTGGTCTATAAAATATAAGTCTAGCCCTGTATGCCCAATACACCTGAAGGTATGGAAAAGGGTACTCTACTTACTTACATGCTTTCTCAAATTGTTTTTGTTCGAACAATTAAACATGTCCAGTTAAGGTCCAAAGGACTGACATGATTGCACCGGATTTTATCCCATATGGCCTAGTCTTTCTCTCTACCTGCCGAGAGTGACGACGCACAAAGCAAGAATTCCGTAGCTAAGGCAAATATTTCCAAGGATCTCTAAAACTGCGCTTGTCAACCAAACGATGCAGCTGTGAAACGAAGTTACAACCTTTAGAGCACGAGGCAAACGGCTTGGTCACGGAAAGTCGCATAAGAAATCCTACAACAGTACAAAGTCTCTAGTACTGATTGATCTATAAAATAGAGGTCTAGCCCCATATACCCAATACGTTGGAAACGGGGTCCTTTACTTCTACAACGTGTCTGTGGTCGAGGTGACAGTAACCACAACCTGATGTATCCACCGCTACCTGAAAGTGAAAAACGGGAAGTGATCTAGAAGACCCAGATGTGACAAAGAAGTGAACAAGAAGACCCAGAAGTGACCTAGAAGACCCAGATGTGACAAAGAAGACACAAATTTGACCAAGATGTGACCAAGTAGACCCAGATGTGACCAAGAAATGACCAAGAAGACCCAGAAGTGACCAAGAAGTGACCAAGAGGTGACAAAGAAGTGACCAAGAAGACCCAGATGTGACGAAGAGGAACCAAATGTGACCAAGAAGAACCAGATGTGACCAAGAAGACCAGATGTGACCAAGAAGACCCAGATGTGACCAAGAAGACCCAAATGTGACCAAGAAGAACCAGATGTGACCAAGAAGACCCAGATGTGACCAAGAAGACCCAGATGTGACCAAGAAGACCCAAATGTGACCAAGAAGAACCAGATGTGACCAAGAAGACCAGATGTGACGAAGAAGAACCAAATGTGACCAAGAAGAACCAGATGTGACCAAGAAGAACCAGATGTGACCAAGAAGACCAGATGTGACCAAGAAGACCCAGATGTGACCAAGAAGACCCAGATGTGACCAAGAAGACCCAGATGTGACCAAGAAGACCCAGATGTGACCAAGAAGACCCAGAAGTGGACAAGAAGATCCAGAAGTAACCAAGAGGTGACCAAGAAGTGACCAAGAAGACCCAGCAGGCGATGTCTGTGGCCGGATCAACCTCAGATGAGTACTGGTGGCAGACACACCGAGAAGTAGAGCTAGTCAGTTGTACAGAAACACCTTGGCCATAGACACAGTGGGTGTGGGATGGCAGACACACCGAGAAGTAGAGCTGGCTAGTTGTACAGAAACATCTTGGCCATAGACACAGTGGGTGTGGGATTGCAGACACACCGAGAAGTAGAGCTGGCTAGTTGTACAGAAACATCTTGGCCATAGACACAGTGGGTGTGGGGTGGCAGACACACCGAGAAGTAGAGCTGGCTAGTTGTACAGAAACATCTTGGCCATAGACACAGTGGGTGTGGGATGGCAGACACACCGAGAAGTAGAGCTGGCTAGTTGTACAGAAACATCTTGGCCATAGACACAGTGGGTGTGGGATGGCAGACACACCGAGAAGTAGAGCTAGTCAGTTGTACAGAAACATCTTGGCCATAGACACAGTGGGTGTGGGATGGCAGACACACCGAGAAGTAGAGCTGGCTAGTTGTACAGAAACATCTTGGCCATAGACACAGTGGGTGTGGGATGGCAGACACACCGAGAAGTAGAGCTGGCTAGTTGTACAGGAACATCTTAGTCATAGACACAGTGGGTGTGGGATGGCAGACACACCGAGAAGTAGAGCTAGTCAGTTGTCCAGGAACACCTTGGTCATAGACACAGTGGGTGTGGGGTTGACTGCTTCGTTAGAACATGCTACAAATGTACCAACCAGTCAGGGCCGGATCTAGACTTGGTGAGGCCCGTAGTAATGTAAGGCCCTGAGGCCTCTACCCTTTTAAATTTCACTAGCTAATCTGAGAAAAGATTAAAATATATACCTGTTTTAAATGTATTGATAATAGTAAATAATTGATTTATAGTGTCTTTAAAAAACTAGAGGGGACAATAATAAAGAATATGTTTGCAAAATCACAGAAGTTATGTTATATAATCATCTGCTAAGACATCCAAACATAACTATCAGCACAAAGAGACAGATTATAAACAGCTTATTCATTCCAAACTGCGGCTATCAGTCATAAACATGGATACTATCTAAAACCCATTTACGCAATATCAACATTTGCAAGATGAGATGCTTGAGAAAAGGTTCCGACCTAATCATCCAAGACTGAGAGAATAATGATACTATCAGACAAATTGTGGGAGCGATACGTTGTACTAGATTAATCGAGAAGTAGCAAATCAAGTGGTTTGGCTATCTTGTTAGAATGCAGTAAGATCAAATACCATCAAAGGCACTACATCTCAGAAGATCAGCTACAAAAGCAAGCGGCCACGAAAACATGGATCGACAACATTAAAGACACACTACGCCTTCACGGCATGACAATAGCCAGCGTACACTAAATCGCAAATTATTCCCCTCCACGGCTCTTAAGGGCAGAAGTAGTATATGATGATGATAAGGAATCTTATAAAAAGGGCTAAATAAAAAGAAAATTGCATTTAAAATATATTACAAGAAAAATTTATTAATGGGGAAAAAAGAAGCCCCTACAGATTATAGACCCTAAGCTGTAGCATGTCAGATTCACACGACCTACCGCCACCTCTGCTTTGAATTATTTATTCAAAAAGAACTTCTAGTGTAGATTCATCATCATGATTTATGTTGTGTTATCGCAATCGACATCTTTGCACATTAGGCATCCCTGTGCGTACTCATTCCTCTGATACAGCCACTTCAAGGTTATTGATTTCCATGAGGAGTTGATTATATCTCCTGTCTTTATCTCACAGACAGCATTGATGTTCTTCACCAAGCTTAACTCCTCGGTCACGCAGTCGTATTAGCGTCAAAGAAGCATCACTAACCCCCAGCCTAGTCCGTACAGCGTTGATTATATTAGCTATCATCATCATGGTCCTGTACCGTTACATGTCGTATGGGGCTCACAGTCTAACCCTCCATTCCTTTCTGTCCTTGCAGTACCTTCGAGATCATGTCGATTGTATTGTTATAACTGTTTGTTATTGTTGCAATAAGGTGGTGGCCATGACAAACAGAGGCAGAAGGCGCCGTTTCGGAATAGGCATCGTAGGGGAATTCTTCGAGCGGAAAGTCCGAGGCAGCATCATTAAGTCGGTCAAACCGCAAATAGATAATCTGGATGATAACAGGTCAGTTTAGCCATAGGCGCCAGGACATGGGAGCTAAAGCACACTGAACTGTTTTTAAAAAAAAATCGGAGGGAGGGGAGGTGTGTGTGGGGGTCAGGAGTGTGGGGGGGGGGGGCGGAGTGTGGGAGAGAGATATGTGTTTCGGGTAAGGAGATGTGTTTTTTGGGTAAGTAGGGCGAAGTATGTGTTGGGGAGGTGTGTGTGGGAGTCAGGGGTGTGGGCGGGGGCGGGGGTGTGGGAGAGAGATATGTGTGTCGGGTAAGGAGATGTGTTGTTTTGGTAAGTAGGGCGAAGTATGTGTTAGGGAGGTGTGTTTTGGGGGAAGGGGAAGGGGGCCCCCAACATATGTCAAGGACAAGAGGCCCGTCTGCTGCTAGAAGTGACAGGACTACCAATGCCACACGGAATAGACTATAAGAAGAATTGGTTCAGTTTTTGCTGTTGAAGTAACCCGGTATATTTCTTAGCTCTATGTGTTTGCAGCTCCAAATACAAATCCATATTATAACTTAGCCTCCCAGAAAGGATATCCACATTGTACTTATCCTTTTATCTATGCCACATAAATTCTGCTTTTTCTACATTTTATATAAAAAAAATTTGCTGTTTTTCATGTTATTATTATTTTTTTTTAATTATCATTATTATATTCTTTTGGCCATTTAGCACGCAATAGTTATCAATATTTTTATTCCGGAGTTAAACAAAGCTTTACACCCTCGAGTCCGATCCATAAAAATTAATGAGGATAAAGGCATCTCCCAATATTTTCTTATGGGCAGTGCTTGTTTGCTAGTGTGTTCTTGTTTCTTGTTTTCATTATGTCTATGCTTCATTAAAAAAAAAAAAAAATCTGGACTGGAATCGTTCGGGAACTTTTTTGCAGCAGGATGATGGGAGCAGTCTTTCATTCTAACCCAAGGGACCAAACCACCTGTATGCATGTGGGCACAGGTCCATTTCTAGAATTTTCTGGAAAGGTAAGGCTCACATGTGAGGACCGAAGATATGCACAAGCCTAACATTTAGGACCAGAGTCCGAAGGGTTATGACTATATTAACATGAGGAATTCGAGTTTATATCTTGTGTTCATTGAGCTTCCCAGGTTAGTTGTGAGTTCATGTATTTGTTTAGAACTGTTGCCCACATCAAAAGGAGATCCATGAACATTCTTTGGTCACGTCACCAGAAGGAGGAAACTGGAATACATTGTGGCGGTGGGAAAGTTGGAGGGAAAAAGAGGCAGAGGGAGCCCGACAGATGAGATACTGAACAGTTTGACATCATGGCATGGAAGGTCATCAGTGTCAGAACTGATTGATTGTACACGAGACAGAAGGTTGTGGATAGACGTGACTACCAACTGCCTAGGGCACGGACTATGGAAGGTCATCAATGTCAGAACTGATTGATTGTACATGAGACAGAAGTGTATGGATAGACGTGACTACCAACTCCCTACGGCACGGACTATGGAAGGTCTTCAGTGTCAGAACTGATTGATTGTACACGAGACAGAAGGTTATGGATAGACGTGACTACCAACTCCCCACGGCACGGACTATGGAAGGTCATCAGTGTCAGAACTGATTGATTGTACACGAGACAGAAGGTTATGGATAGACGTGACTACCAACTCCCTACGGCACGGACTATGGAAGGTCATCAGTGTCAGAACTGATTGATTGTACACGAGACAAAAGGTTATGGATAGACGTGACTACCATCTCCCTACGGCACGGACTATGGAAGGTCATCTGTGTCAGAACTGATTGATTGTACACGAGACAGAAGGTTATGGATAGACGTGACTACCAACTCCCTACGGCACGGACTATGGAAGGTCATCAGTGTCAGAACTGATTGATTGTACACGAGACAAAAGGTTATGGATAGACGTGACTACCATCTCCCTACGGCACGGACTATGGAAGGTCATCTGTGTCAGAACTGATTGATTGTACACGAGACAGAAGGTCGTGGATAGACGTGACTACCAACTCCCCACGGCACGGACTATGGAAGGTCATCAGTGTCAAAACTGATTGATTGTACACGAGACAGAAGGTTGTGGATAGACGGGAATACTTTTACCATGAGTAATGACTAATTATATGTTTCTATTGTGTGTGTATTTCAGGCCATATTTCTCCTACTGGGTGACTTTTGTGCAGACTGTTATTATGCTTACAGCCATCATAGTCTATGGCCATGCTCCCATTGGTATAGGAGTTTCGACCGTGACCGGCAGCGTAATGTTGGACACTATCTTTTAACTGTTATGTTTGGTTTGGTTGACTTTTCTTTGTTCTTTCTTGTTGGTGTTGACATTTGCATGCAGCGAAACTCTAATCTTTCCCGGCCAGAAGCCAAAGTATCCATCGATGAGTGAAGACACATCAGTGTCATTTAGCTTGCAGTAAGTCTTCTCGTTCTTTACATTCACCGGCTGTAATTTCTGATGAAAGTTCTAGCTGTTCGTCAAATTCTGGGCTTTACTTTTGTTCTACTACTTGAGTATTGTGTGCACATTTGTTTGATAGATCTGACTGTTGGTTCCTCGTTTCTCAGGCACACGAGGGCGGACGTCAAAACAACCCCCCCCCCCCCCCCCGATTATTCGACTTGTAAAAGCTTGTTGGGGGGTCTGGCAGTAAATCTAAACACCCCCCACCCCCAACTAAATGTGTCCAGCCATGCCCCAGAAGAAAAAGTAAGTAAAACAAATAGTTGTTTTTCTCCTAGTATGGATATCTGTTTGTTTGTTTTAGTATCCAGAAGCCATGAGTTGTTAACCCTTAGGCTCGGTATTATGGATATCGAAACCTTTCGGCCTTGATTCCATTGTAAATACCGTACATCTGGGAGAAATGTGGCTTTTCTGCCTACCCCCGGGAGTGAACCCGGACCACAAGGAGTTCGTCACCCGGTCTCCGCGCAATCTGATTTAGCCAACTACGCTAGAGAGCCAGGCATGGAGATCTGGAAAGTGTTTATTGTGGTCAATAAAAATAAAAGGCTCCTTTTTACATCAGCCAAACATCTGGCCTACGGTGCAATTTTGTTTTTGTTGTTGTATAGAGCAGTCTGCACTGGCTGGATGGCGAAGTCTGCATCATACAAGTCGCCTTTACTAGTGTGTAGAGCAGTCGTCGCCTTTACTTGTGTGTAGAGCAGTTGTCACTTTTACTAGTGTGTCGAGCAGTCGTCGCCTTTATTTGTGTGTAGAGCAATCGTCGCCTTTACTTGTGTGTAGAGCAGTTGTCACTTTTACTTGTGTGTCGAGCAGTCGTCGCCTTTACTTGTGTGTAGAGCAGTTGTCACTTTTACTAGTGTGTCGAGCAGTCGTCGCTTTTATTTGTGTGTAGAGCAGTTGTCACTTTTACTAGTGTGTCGAGCAGTCGTCGTCTTTACTTGTGTGTACAGCAGTTGTCACTTTTACTAGTGTGTCGAGCAGTCGTCGCTTTTATTTGTGTGTAGAGCAGTTGTCACTTTTACTAGTGTGTCGAGCAGTCGTCGCCTCTACTTGTGTGTAGAGCAGTTGTCACTTTTACTAGTGTGTCGAGCAGTCGTCGCCTTTACTTGTGTGTAGAACAGTCGTCGCTTTTTTGTGTGTATAGAGCAGTCGTCACTTTTACGTGTGTGTAGAGCAATCGTCGCCTTTACTTGTTTGTAGAGCAATCGTCACCTTTACTTGTGTGTAAAGCAAGTGTCGCCTTCACTTGTTTGTAGAGCAATCGTCGCCTTTACTTGTGTGTAGAGCAATCGTCGCCTTTACTTGTGTGTTAGAGCAATCGTTGCCTTTATTTGTATGTAGAGCAATCGTCGCCTTTACTTGTGTGTAGAGCAATCGTCGCCTTTACTACCGTGTAGAGCAATCGATACTTTTACTTACGTGTAGAGCAATCGTCACTTTTACTTACGTGTAGAGCAATCGTCACTTTTCCTTGTGTGTAGAGCAATCGTCGCCTTTACTAGTGTGTATAGCAATCGTCGCCTTTACTTGTGTGTAGAGCAATCGTCGCTTTTACTTGCGTGTAGAGCAATCGTCACTTTTACTTACGTGTAGAGCAATCGTCACCTTTCCTTGTGTGTAGAGCAATCGTCGCCTTTACTAGTGTGTATAGCAATCGTTGCCTTTACTTGTGTGTAGAGCAATCGTCGCCTTTACTTGTGTGTAGAGCAATCGTCCCCTTTACTTGTGTGTAGAGCAATCGTCACCTTTACTAGTGTGTAGAGCAGTCGTCACCTTTATTGGTATGAAGAGCAATCGTCGCCTTTACTTGTGTGTAGAGCAGTCGTCACCTTTACTAGTGTGTCGAACAGTCGTCGCCTTTACTTGTCTTAGAGCAGTCGTCGCTTTTACTTGTGTATAGAGCAGTCGTCACTTTTACTTGTGTGTAGAGCAATCGCCGCCTTTACTTGTGTGTAGAGCAGTCGTCACCTTTACTTGTGTGTAGAGCAATTGTCGCCTTTCTTGTGTGTAGAGCAATTGTCGCCTGTACTTGTGTGTAGAGCAATTGCCGATTTTACTAGTGTGCAGAGCAATCGTCGCCTTTACTCGTGTGTAGAGCAATCATCGCCGTTACTTGTGTGTAGAGCAATCGTCGCCTCACTTGTGTATAGAGCAATCGTCGCCTTTGCCTGCGTGTAGAGCAATCGTCGCCTTATCTGTGTGTAGAGCAATTGTAGACTTTACTTGTTTGTAGAGCAATGGTCACCTTACTTGTGTGTCGAGCAATCGTCGCCTTTACCTGTGTGTAAAGCAATCGTCGCCTTTGCTTGCGAGTAAAGCAATCGTCGCCTTTACTTAGTGTATAGAGCAATCGTCGCCTTTACTTGTCTGTAGAGCAGACGTCGCTTTTACTTGTGTATAGAGCAATCGTCGCCTTTACTTGTGTGTAGAGCAGTTATCACAGACTGCGTGACGATGTCTGCATCATGCAAGTCGCCTTTACTTCCCAAAAGTAAAATCATATATGAATATTATTCATCTTCTTGCATGGATGGACGATTTGTATTTTATACACACAGCAGTGTGGAAAAAAGGGGGCGGGGGGGGGGGTGGTGGGGTCCAAGATTAAGAATCCGTTTTAGCTTTGTGGTTAGTGTTGTAACTGGTTAGTGTGGTAACTGGTTAGTGTGGTAACTGGTTAGTGTGGTAACTGGTTAGTGTTGTAACTGGTTAGTGTGGTAACTGGTTAGTGTTGTAACTGGTTAATTTAGTAATTATGGTTAGTGTGATAACTAGTTAGTGTGGTAACTGTGTTTAGTGTTGTAACTGGTTAGTGTTGTAACTGGTTAATTTAGTAATTATGGTTAGTGTGATAACTAGTTAGTGTGGTAACTGTGTTTAGTGTTGTAACTGGTTAGTGTTGTAACTGGTTAATTTAGTAATTATGGTTAGTGTGATAACTAGTTAGTGTGGTATTTGTGGTTAGTGTTGTGACTGGTTAGTGTTGTAACTGGTTAATTTAGTAATTATGGTTAGTGTGATAACTAGTTAGTGTGATAACTAGTTAGTGTGATAACTAGTTAGTGTGATAACTAGTTAGTAAACTAGTTAGTGTGGTAATTGTGGTTAGTGTGGTAACTGGTTGGTGTGATGACAGGTAAGTGTGTTAAGTGTGGGTAATGTGGTAACATGTTAGTGTAGTAAATCATTAGTGTAGTATCATGGTAGTGTGGTAGCATATTAGTGTGGAAACATATTACTGTGGTAACATATTACTATGGTAACATATTACTGTGGTAACATATTAGTGTGGTAACATATTAATGCGGTAACATATGAAAGTGGTGACATATTAGTCGGTATCTGGTTAGTGTGGTAACATGCTAGTGTGGTAACATGTTTCCACGACTGTGCAGGTGAGGATTTTATTCTTGCCCCCCGAGAGAAAAAAAACACCCAGCCGTAGCGACGATTCGAATCCGATCATGAGATAACGGCAGGAGATAAATACAGAAGATAAATACAGGAGATAAAGACAGCATGTCTTTAAAAAAAAAAATGCAATTCAATGCTTGAATCTTGCTTCAGGTTGACATGCCAAACCTAGCTATTCAAACAGAGCATCGTATGGAAGTGGAGAATTTGTGGATCGGACCCCGCCAGGTAGTGTGCCTAACCATTATAGCTTTTTAACTTCTATTCATTTTCTCTCCCACTGACTCCTTTCTGATCTCAACCTTGTCCTGTTATTTATTTCTTCTTCTTCTTCTTTTTCTGCATCAAATAAAGTGTGTTTGTCGTTCTTCTGAAAGTTCATTTATGTTTTTTTGTCGTTAGTTTATTTATTCCTGTATGTTCATAACTTTATTCTTCAGTGCCTTCTACCTGTCAAACTTTTCAGTGAGACATATATAGAATAAATATCAGATTTCCATTTGTTTGTATCTAATCTAACCGTCTTCTTTTGCTATATTCTTTTTGATATCACCAGTTCTGTGCTTGCCTTTTTTGCACTACATTTAGAATTTGTCATAGATCTTTCATTTGTGTGTATTTAAAAAAAAAAAATCATGTCTCCTTTGAATGAGTCTGAGCAGCCATGATTCGCCGTCTCATCTAAGCGGTCTTGTTCTACCTCATTCACGCGGCCAAACTCTGCAGGTTTTGATGTCTCTGCAATTAACACCCCCCTCAACTTGCTTGAGGTTTGTCCCATTTACTTGTGGAGTTGGAGTAATTATTGTCTGGGACTTGAGGATGCAGAGTATTTACTTTCTGGGACTTGGGGAGTTAAAGTACTTACTGTCTGGGACTTGGGGAGTTAAAAGAAATTATTGTCTGGGCTTGAGCTTTTCGATATTAAACTTCCTTAATCTGAAAGGGAACATTAAACATATCAACTTGCTTGAGGGATTTACTTGGGGAGTTAGAGTAATTACTGTCTGGGACTTGGGAAGTTAGAGTAATTATTGTCTGGGACTTGGGAAGTTAGAGTAGTTATAGTCTGGAACTTTGGGAGTTAGAGTAATTACTGTCTGGGACATGGGGAGTTGGAGTAATTACTGTCTGGGACTTGGGGATGTAGATTACTTACTGTCTGGGACTTGGGGAGGTAGAATAATTACTGTCTAGGACTTGGGGAGTTTGAGTAATTATTGACTGGGGCTTTCGGAAGTAGAGTAATTTTTGTTTTTAAAATTATAGTTTCAATGTTTTTTTCGGTGGGGGAGGGGGGGGGGGGGGGGGTTATTAGGTGGGGGGATACACACAAATGCATTACCTGGATTCTTTACTATGACTCAGTTAGAGTGAATGTACTTATGTTTGATTGTTCTCGAAATTAATTGAACGTATTTATGTTTGATTGTTCTAGAGATTGATTGAGAGTACTTATGTTTGATTGTCCTAGAGATTGATTGAGAGTACTTATGTTTGATTGTCCTAGAGATTGATTGAATGTTCTTGTGTTTGATTCTTCTGGAATTTAAATGTACTGATGTTTGATTGTTCTAGAGATTCAGTGCAGGTACTAGTATTTGATTGTTCCAGAATGTTCTCTCCACCTGGCTCAAGTGGTCAAGCGATAACCCAGGGCCTGATGGCCGAGTCAGTGGGTCAGTCTGTGGGCAGGACCCCAGGTAATGCGTACATTTTTTTTTTGTTTAATCCACTGTAGCATATTCTCAACTGTAACTGGGTGAGGGGAGAGTGGGGTGGGGGTGGGGGTGGGGGGAAAGGGGAGTGGCAGACTGTTTCAGATTAAACTATGAAGTGAGTAGCCATACAGACCTGCCGGTCTGTATGATGTGGTGGCACATAAGCTAGATGTAGTCATCTTTTTCTTCTTCCTTTGTCGTTGTACTGATACCAGGCTCTAGACTAGTGTGTTGGTTCTGTCGTCTCGCTGATTTAGGGCTGTAGCCCAGTGTCGTAGTTTTGTTGTCTCACCGACACTAGGTTGTAGCCCAGTGTCGCGGTTTTGTCATCTCACTGAGACCAGGTTGTAGCCCGATGTCGTGGTTTTTGTCGTCTCACTAATACCAGGTTTTAGCCCAGTGTCGTGGTTTTATCATCTCACTGATACCAGGTTGTAGACCAGTGTCGCGGTATCGTCGTCTCACTGAAACCAGGTTGTAGCCCAGTGTCGTGGTTTTGTCTTCTCACTGATACCAGGTTGAAGCCCAGTGTCGTGGTTTTGTTGTCTCACTGATACCAGGTTGTAGCCCAGTGTCGTTTTTTTGTCGTCTCACTGATACCAGGTTGTAGCCCAGTGTCGTGGTTTTGTCGTCTCACTGATACCAGGTTGTAGCCCAGTGTCACGGTTTTTTCGTCTCACTGATACCAGGTTGTAGCCCAGTGTCGCGGTATCGTTGTCTCACTGATACCAGGTTGTAGCCCAGTGGCGTGGTTTTGTCGTCTCACTGATACCAGGATGTTGCCCAAGGTCGTGGTTTTGTCGTCTCTCTAATACCAGGTGCAATGTGCTCTGCTAGGGGTATGTTTTTGCACGCCACATTGCTCTATGACGAATATTCAGTGGCTACAACACAGCAGAGACGAATGTTCAATTATATACTTTTATTCGCCGAATCACAACATATCACAGGAAGCGCATTCATTCGTCCTCGTGTTCGTTATGCCTGGCTGATTTCTGACGACCCGGTCAATCTCTTCGCACACTGCTTTGATCCATCCGCATCTCTCGAATCACACATCCATCCTCTGGTAAAGCTTTGTACCTAGTATTGGTACATGTAGGAGACATTCATATTTTCTCTCGAAACATTACAAGCGTTCACAATTTCTCCATTCTCCCCAGGCGTTCGCTCACATACGACCTTTGGCAACCAGGTCCGAACTTCAACTGTCTTACTACCGTTTCTCGGTTCACGTCTTCCGTACCAGTCTCACGCTTTTCTTGTATCCCTTTTTTCGCTCACCATGGGATACTTGAGACACACACTTAACTCATTTTTCTCTTGTATCACTGGTCTTCTGACCTTGCCCTCCCCATCGGGAACTCTCTGGGATTTCCCCAGAAATTCACATTACACCAGGTTGAAGCCCAGTGTCGTGGTTTTGTTGTCTCACTGATACCAGGTTGTAGCCCAATGTCGTGTTTTTGTCGTCTCACTGATACCAGAATGTAGCCCAGTGTCGTGATTTTGTCATCTCACTGATACCAGGATGTAGCCCAGTGTCGTGGTTTTGTCGTCTCACTGATACCAGGATGTAGCCCAGTGTCTTGGTTTTGTCGTTTTTCTAATACCAGGTTGTAGCCCAGTGTCGTGGTTTTGTCGTCTCACTGATACGAGGTTGTAGCCCAGTGTCGTGGTTTTGTCGTCTCTCTTAAAACAGGTTGTAGCCCAGTGTCGTGGTTTTGTCGTCTCACTGATACCAGGTTGTAGCCCAGTGTCGTGGTTTTGTCGTCTCACTGATACCAGGTTGTAGCCCAGTGTCGTGGTTTTGTCGTCTCACTGATACCATATTGAAGCCCAGTTTCATGATTTGCTGCATTTGTCTTGGGCTTCTTGGGTGATAGATTTGTTATCTTTTCGCAGGTTTCAGCTAAACATTTATCTATATCTTTCTTGGTCTTCCTCTCGCCTTCCTCCTAGATGTTCAGCTGTAATAAAGCTGTAAAATTTGTGGTCTGTTGTATTTGCGCCACTTTCGTGGCTAAAGTTTCCATGTGGGTTTGGGTTAAGGGCATCATTATCAGGTAGGAGGGTAGGGGGCCAGGAGGGGGAAGAATATACTGACTGCCTCTTAGAAATCATATCGTAAAAGGCGACTTATTAAAGATTCCATAAAATCAAACCAAATGGTAGAGATAACACAACATAGCTACAGACCATAGCACGACATACCAACCGTTTCCTTAAAGGATGACGAAGAAGAGGAACAAGTATGACAGACTACACTGACATGTCGAACCTCGATATTTGAACTGATTACTTTTGAAGCAGCGGTCACTTAGCGTCGATACCCTCGCCTGTTGTCCCAATAGTTTTCAATTGAAACCTATAAAGCATATTTATGGGTTTAATTTACCTTGGCTTCTACATCTGCCCAGCCTAAATTTGATACCAGCTAATGTTTTCGGAAGTAAAGGGGCCCAGCATGTTGTTGTCCACGTCAAAAATCGTCGTGCTTTGTATAGCAGCTGGTCTGGGGGGGGGGCGGCGGGGGGGGGGGGGAGCTCCAACAGGAGGATCGACAGAGCACTGCTGTTTGGTCTGGCAGCTTCTGTGGCAGCTTTATACCAGACGTATAAATATTTCCTATCCTTTGAAAGCAACAAGGCAGACTGAGGGAAGCATCAGATGGTCTCTACAATACTACCCAGGCTTTGTGCTGTGGAGAGGGGCACCTTCGTCCCTGACTGATTTGATTTATTTGAAAGTTGAATTAAGAATCGACATTACAGCACGCGGAACACTCTCATAAGTGCTGCGTCCCTGTCTTCAGCAGCAAGAGAAGAGTTACTATACTGGTGGCGATTTGGATCCCTTGATTCTCTATAACATAATACAAAACTATCGTCGGGAAAGACGGGAAGGTTCCAGACCAACAGTTTCAAATAAGTTCCAATTTATAGCCCTAGTATGATTGCCGTATTTCTCTCTTCGCCTCTGGTAAACTGTGCTGACATCGTGAATTGTCTTTTTTTTTAAATAAGTCAACCCTGAGCCGTGAATTTCTAATAACTGTTTGCGGTCACGAATGAAATGTACTTTCCATTCGTAAATGACGTTGTGGTGGGCGAGCCTGCTCTCTTCAGTGACCATGAGAGCTGGTCAGAAATTTTTGGCAGTTGAATGTTCAACACCCAATTTTCTTTGGAAATAAAAGGGGGGGGGGGGAAGGGGAGGTGTAAGACCTCATGTTGTCATGAAAGAGATGTTTAAGCCTTAGATTGGTTGGTCACGTGTTGGACTCACCACTAATAAGTGGCATCGTGAGGGCTAATAGACGGCAGTGGTTGAGTATGTAGGGCAGGTAAAATAGTAACGAAAGCTTCGTGCACACAACAGTCAAATGGGAGTAGACCAGGAGGCTGACCAAGAAGATCGCGGAGAGACTGTGTACTGGCAGGCCTACAAACACCTGCCAGGCATCTCCTGGAAAGAGAATGCCAATCACAAAGTTGAATGGATACAAGTGATGTCTAAGTGATGATATATGAGGAGTTCAGGATTTGCAAAATAAAGGACTAGGCATGTCAGAATGTTTAGTTTCGAAGTAATTTTTTTCTCCGACAGCACTTTGCAGTTTCCATTTGTATGGATGGAAGTCTACGGTTTCGCTGCCTGAACTACTGAGTGTAATGATTGGTGTAGCCCTATGAAAGTACTTCCATAAGAGAAAAACTTACAACTGCCATGTGTATTTACTGCGTGCGCATAATTCTGGGCTGTGCTGGGACAATGATTTGTTCACCAGTTTTTTAAATGGGACAGTGAGGGACATTTCATTTGATTTTCACTGGCGCAGTACTGAGCAAATATGGGGTGACTCGATTGCAGTGAAGTTGAAACCACGACTAAAACTAGGTGGTGATATCAGGAAGCGGGTGATGGAGGCAGGTGATATTTAGGTGATATCAGGAAGCGGGTGATGGAGGCAGGTGATATTTGCAGCAATAAACCTCAGAGGCTCAGAATTACCGTTAAAGATCAAGAAGAAGAAGAAGAAAAAAAAGCTGATTTGGAACAGTGAACCTAAAAAACTCTGCTACTAGTAGTAAAAATTTTACTCCAAACACCCCCCCCCCCCCCACCTCTTTTCCCATATATGACTTGTCAAATAATGATTTCCGTATGCAAAAAACTAGCACTTAATAGTGTGTTTACTAATTCGTGCTAATTTTCTATAAAAATATTTCAGCTGTGGAATATACACGTATACAATTATATATTTATGTTTACTTCATTCTTAACGTTATGTCTCATATTTATTTTGCCTGTATGACAATTAATTAGAATGTATTTTTGCTTTTTTGATGTATATAAATATACACTAATTCTTGCTAGATTGCCTGTTAAAGCTTACACACCTTATATATTATATATATAAAAGGGATAGAGAGAGAGAGAGAGAGAGAGAGAGAGAGAGAGAGAGAGAGAGAGAGAGAAGAGAGAGAGAGAGAGAGAGAGAGAGAGAGAGAGAGAGAGAGACTGTTGTTTTAAGGAAGTCATTGTTCGAAATGGTCACCGTGTGTTGTATTGAAGACATTCAGCTTATGCTTGTATAATAACGGTGTTGTGAATTATGCCCGAGTAACTTTCGGTACATCGGTACAACTTTTCTACGCAGGAAGATAGAAACTGGCTGGGTGCGAAGACAGTGGTGGAAATAAAAAGGAACAAGCTGATCGGCTTGCATGGAAAGCTGCCGTGGAGGGCGAAGGTGCCATGGACCAGGCTGATATTCTGAATGCTCTACGAGAATTAACACGTTCACGAGAACCAAGTGATGACTGTGAATCTGCAACAATGACCAGACTGAAAAAACATGTTAAAAGAATCTGGCCAGACAAGAGCACTATGCAGGAAGCCAGAGAATAAGAAACGAACACAGAACTGGTGTCTTGAGCCGCTTCACGCTGCGGGATTTACTAAGAAGGGGATCCGAGCACTTATGGACTGAATGATTCCCCGGCTCGCTAGCCTAGTTGGCTAAACCTGACTTCGCGACGACCCGGTGTTGAACTCCTTGTGGTCCGGGTTCACGCCTGGGGGTAGGCAGAAAAGCAAAATTTCTCCCAGATCTACGGTATTTATCATGGAATCAAGGCCGAAGGGTTGCGATATCCATAGTACCGAGCCAAAGGGTTAAGAACTCATTGTTTCTAAATAAATTAAAAACAAATAGACCGAATGATTCGATGTGCAAAGAGAATAATCTGCCGACTAACTAACTAACTAACTAAACAACTATTTGACAAAGTTTTGTCCAGCGTGATATTGACCAGATCCCTAACTGTAATGGGGGATATTTTCACCCTGATTAGGAAGGTTGGGGGGAAAGCCCAAGGTTAACAAGAATATCGAGAGAAGCCAGATACTCGGATTAACCGAGGTTTTCAAGATAGGTGATGACCACGAGTTATAACATGAAACTAGATGATAGCGATCACAGGTCGCCACGTGGAAGTAAAGCACCACCACGTGTTGCCACGTGAAACAAACACGGGGTATACATTCAAACCCTAGTCTGATCAAGTTAGTATGTGTCGAACTGTCGGAGTGAACGGACGGGAGATTGATTGAGAGAATGCCAACTTGAGACTGATTGCTGTGAGAGGAAAACCAGACGACGACATCCATTTAAAGCCAAGACTAGCCAGGCCAATCTGTATGATGTCGAGGAGAAGAACCACATTCATCTGTGTGAACTCTGGTCAGTGACTGCGTGAGAAAACCAGCATGTTAGCGTCTGAGTAATGCGGTGTATGAAAGCTGTTTCTTAGGACAACGACCGGACATTGATGTAAGTGATAAGATGTCAATACACTGATGTATCGTACTGCTAAGTCGGTGTCGGCTTGTCCCAGTTATGTCATCGTAAAATGTGTGCTAATAACATTCACTACACACAACAGCCAGTGCAAGCAGAGTTAGTAGACCACAGCTCATTGCACTAACCGAATTCCAACTCGGCTTTAAAAAATATGTCTAGCCCAAAACACAGGGAAAGTGTCCTTGACTTGACAACCTGATTTCGTATAGCAAGGAAATAGAAGTGAATGTGTGTAAGTCACCCTAGCGTAGTTATAGTCCGTCCCATAAGTTGTGACCAGTTCCACAAATCACTCACCGTTCTGTACAATTGTAAATTATATAATCATAAGGTCACTGGAAATCTAAGGCCACTCGCAAACACTGATGCTTCCCTCCAGCTCTCAGCCAGTGCTAGGTCTGCCCTGTCTTAACATGCAGATTTCAAATTGCATTTCCTCTTCCTATTTTAAGGCTAGTACCCTTCCCAGTGCGCTCCTCCGTCCGAAGACATTACCACCGCGCGGAAACTTTCACAAACGGACACTACTGCAGAAGTGACGAGTAGTAAATGAACTTATAGGGCCGATTTTAGCTGCAATAAGTTAATCCAAGGAGAACCTACTTGACTGCATTTCTTTGCATCTCATGTAGCCTGGTCTTTAGCCGGAGAACGGCTGTCGGCATGCCGAAACCGCCGCACAAAGCACGAACTGTAGCTCCAGTGACCATCTTAATAGGGCGGCTTAAATGCTGCTTTGGAAACTGTCCGTAAAACAACCCTATGACCTTTAGAGTGTGAGGCAAATGACTTCCCTGCTTTACCTCTGCGAACGTATTAATGTAATACTTTATGTTTGATTATAGATACTGTAACAATCCGTCATCGAGTGCACCATTTGACTGGCCAGATGAAATTACAAAATGGCCTGTAAGTTCTGTTGTATGTTCCTCCAGAAGTTGCAACTTTGTTGTTGTTTTGCAAGAGGTTGAAGGTTGCGTTGAATGTTTTAAAAGAGGTGTACGTTGTGTTGTATTTTTTTTTACCAAACGTTGTAAGCTACGTTTATACAAGGTCAGACAATTAAGTAATGAGACTGATTTTATTATGGCCATGACAAAAATGCCATCTATGAAACAAAGCATAGAATCCAAAGAGGCAGCTTTCATCTATGATCTGGCAACTTTTAATCGCCGCTCGGTAAGCAGACAACAAACAAGCCGCTATTTTGTTACCTAGTCAGACGTGCATTGTTACGCAATCAGCACTGGTCAAAAGGCTAAGATTAAATTCTGTGCCATTGAGACAGTTGAATTGATGCAACATCTTTATGGGGATAATTGTTTATCTCGTGCACAGACTTTCAGGTGGTATTCACGATTCAAAAGTGGTGTGGAAATCATTACTAATGCAACTATATCTGGACGCGCAATTTCTGTTCTTTTTGAGGAACTCATTGCAAAAGTCAGAGAACGGCTAATAGTAGTAGTACATTTTACCCCACTAGGACACCACACAAGCAATAAACACTTGATGACACAAAGTGCCACAATGCGGATGATGATCACCTGTGGAGAGGTCCCGGAAGCCGTGTTCAGCCATTAGGGCATATTTATGACTTGGCTATATTGCGGCCTCTAGCAATAGCCAGGGTGGGGCTTCAAAATAACAAAAAATTGCATCCCGCAAGGGGATATGCATGATAAATCCTTAGAGAACGGCTACAAGAAGATCGTTGTTTGATTGTGAGGGTGATGGCAGATAAATATTTTGTACCACATTCGTTGTCTAATGACCAGAAACATGAGCGGTAGTTGTTACGGAATTTTTGGCCCCAAAACAAGTGTGTGTTCTCAACCAACCACCCTATTCCCCAGATTTGTCTCCCTATTATTTTTTTTCTGTTCCTAAAATGAAAGTTGCTATTGAAAAAACGCTTCTTTGACGATATTGATGATATCTAAAGGGCCGTAACATCAACTTTAAGGGCCATAACAACAGAAGAGCTACAGAGGTCGATCCAGTGTTTGTTAGATCGTGCCACTTGCTGTATCAACGCACCAGGGACTTACTTTGGATAAAATACAGGTTATATATTCAGCTGTTGAATATTTTGATTTCTCACGAATTAGTCTCATTACTTTATTGTCGGACCTGCATTGTATTTTACCAGAGGTTGTAATTGTATTGTATGTGTTATAGAACTTGTAAATTGCGTTTCATGTTTCACGAAAAGTTATAAGTTCTGTTCTGTGTTTTACCAGAGATTGTGAGCTGTGCTGTATATTTTACCAGGGGTTGTAAGTTGGGTCGTATGTTTCAACAGAGAATGTAAGTTGTATTGTGGGTTTCACCAGAGGTTGTAAGTTGTATTATGCGTTCCACCAGAGGTTGTAAATTGCGTTCTTTTTTTTTAACTAAAGGTTTTAAATTGTGTTATATGTTGTTGTATCTTAAGTTATAAATTATGCTCGGTGTTCAACTCAACCACAGGCTGGAAGTAGAGCCACGTGTGTGTTAATTGTAATTCATAGTGCCTTTAATGGGATTATTATCATATAAAGAATCTGAGAAGAAGAAAATAAAAATAAACAGGCAATGAAATGGGAAACAAACAAACTGAGGAAAAGAGAAGGTTTAAGAGAGAAGCTAAGACAAACTTTCTCGAGAGAGACCGAAGGTTCTGGACTAGATTTTATTGAATGGACGAGGACTGGACTAGACCAGATTAACGATGAAGCACTAGACAAGCGACAGTTAACTAGACACAGCTAGTAGACAAGGAGCAGGAAATTAGACAAGGTTAATAGACAGGCTACGGTGAATTAGACAAGACTTGTAGACAAGCAACAGTTAGCTGGACAAAGCTAGTAGATAAGTAACAGTGAACTAGACAGTTCTACTAGACAAGTTCAGTGAGCTATACAAGGTTAGTAGACAAGCAGCAGTAAACTAGACAATGTTGGTAGGCAAGCAACAGTGAACTAGACAAGGCTAGTGGACAAGCAAGCAAGCAACAGTGAACTAGACAAGGTTAGTGGACAAGCAACAGTGAACTAGACAAGGTGAGTAGACAAACAACATTGAAATAGACAAGGCTAACAGACAAGCAAAAGTGAACGCAGTACCGACACTTTTTTTTCATGGGCTAGAAAAGCAAACTTAAAGAAGACAAAACGGCCTGCAACACACTAGAAAGGAAAGATGAAACAGACAGGACTATCTACAGTGTACTAGACTCGACAACACTGAACTAGACAAATTATCTTCAATGTACTAGGCAGGCAACACTGAACTAGACAAAACTATCTACAGTATACTAGAGATGCAACGCTGAACTAGACAAGACTATGTACAGTATACTTGAAAGGAAACACTGAACTAGACAAGACTATCTGCAATATATTAAACAGGCAGCACTGAACTAGACAAGACTATCTACAGTATACTAGACAGGCAACACTATCTACAATATACTAGACAGGAAACACTGAACTAGACAAGACTATCTACAGTGTATTAAACAGGCAACACTGAACCAGACAAGACTATCCAGAGTATACTAAACAGGCAACACTGAACTAGACAAGACTATGCACAATATACTAGATAGGCAACACTGAATTAGACAAAACTATCTGCAGTGTACTAGACAGGCAACACTGAACTAGACAAGACTATGCACAATATACTAGATAGGCAACACTGAACTAGACAAATCTATCTACAGTGTACTAGACAGGCAACACTGAACTAGACAAGACTATCTACAGTGTACTAGACAGGCAACACTGATATTCAGTGTCTCAACAGATCTGCCAGGAGACAACCCCCATCAACCAGTCACTGGCCCACATGAAAAACAGACACATGCACTGTGAGCTGCTGGGGCGACCTTGCTGCACTGGGATTCAGGGCGAGTGTATCATCACCACCGTGGACCACTGCCAGCTTCTCAGGGGATTCTTCCATGGCGAGGCTGCACTATGTTCCCAGGTTCGCTGTTCGTTGATAGTTTTCACGAGTTGAGTATGTTTGTTGTTTCAAGATACATAGAGGTCCGAAAACACGAGTTTAACCCGATAATTTAACTATATATAAACTTATTCTTCATCATCTTTAACATTTCGAGCCCTTGAGGTTCAATGCTGCAGATATTACCTGCTCCCATTGGTCTTTGTGATTGGCCTTCTCTTTCCAGCTGGTGATACCAAGTGTTTGTAGGTCTGTCTTGAAATTATCTCTCCATCGTCTTCTCGGTCTGCCTCCTGGTAGACAACCATCCAGCTCCCTTGTGTATACAGTTTTTACCTCTCTGTCATCTGACATTCTCTCAATATTCCTTAGCCATTTTAGTCTCTGAGCTCCCCTAAAGTTAATGATTAATGGTGATTTAGACAGATTATTCATTTCTTTGTTGCTTCTCACTCTTCATTCCCTGCTGTTTGCATCTTTGATGGGTCAAAAGATTCGTCGTTGTAAGATTGTTTAAAAAAATGTGTAATAAGGCTCTATCTCTTTTAGTTGTGCTTGTTGTTTCAGAGCCATACAAAACAACTGGTCTTTTTAGCGTTTTTATATATTTTTTGATCTGGTGTTTTTGTTTTGTTGAATTTGTGTATTTGTTTCTATTTGTTTGATCTGGTCTACAGGCAACTGTAGACAAAGTGACTGCCTGGTGTGCAGAAATGTCTGCTGTCATCAACTGACTGGTGTGCAGAAATGTCTGCTGTTATCAACTGACTGGTGAGCAGAAATGTCTGCTGTTATCAACTGACTGGTGTGCAGAAATGTCTGCTGTCATCAACTGACTGGTGTGCAGAAATGTCTGCTGTTATCAACTGACTGGTGTGCAGAAATGTCTGCTGTCATTAACTGCCTAGTGTGCAGAAATGTCTGCTGTCATCAACTGACTGGTGAGCAGAAATGTCTGCTGTCATCAACTGACTGGTGTGCAGAAATGTCTGCTGTCATCAACTGACTGGTGTGCAGAAATGTCTGCTGTCATCAACTGACTGGTGTGCAGAAATGTCTGCTGTCATCAACTGACTGGTGTGCAGAAATGTCTGCTGTCATCAACTGACTGGTGTGCAGAAATGTCTGCTGTCATCAACTGACTGGTGTGCAGAAATGTCTGCTGTCATCAACTGACTGGTGTGCAGAAATGTCTGCTGTCATCAACTGACTGGTGTGCAGAAATGTCTGCTGTTATCAACTGACTGGTGAGCAGAAATGTCTGCTGTTATCAACTGACTGGTGTGCAGAAATGTCTGCTGTTATCAACTGACTGGTGTGCAGAAATGTCTGCTGTTATCAACTGACTGGTGTGCAGAAATGTCTGCTGTCATCAACTGACTGGTGTGCAGAAATGTCTGCTGTTATCAACTGACTGGTGAGCAGAAATGTCTGCTGTTATCAACTGACTGGTGAGCAGAAATGTCTGCTGTTATCAACTGACTGGTGAGCAGAAATGTCTGCTGTTATCAACTGACTGGTGAGCAGAAATGTCTGCTGTTATCAACTGACTGGTGTGCAGAAATGTCTGCTGTCATCAACTGACTGGTGAGCAGAAATGTCTGCTGTTATCAACTGACTGGTGTGCAGAAATGTCTGCTGTTATCAACTGACTGGTGAGCAGAAATGTCTGCTGTTATCAACTGACTGGTGTGCAGAAATGTCTGCTGTCATCAACTGACTGGTGAGCAGAAATGTCTGCTGTTATCAACTGACTGGTGTGCAGAAATGTCTGCTGTTATCAACTGACTGGTGAGCAGAAATGTCTGCTGTTATCAACTGACTGGTGTGCAGAAATGTCTGCTGTTATCAACTGACTGGTGAGCAGAAATGTCTGCTGTTATCAACTGACTGGTGAGCAGAAATGTCTGCTGTTATCAACTGACTGGTGTGCAGAAATGTCTGCTGTTATCAACTGACTGGTGAGCAGAAATGTCTGCTGTTATCAACTGACTGGTGTGCAGAAATGTCTGCTGTTATCAACTGACTGGTGAGCAGAAATGTCTGCTGTTATCAACTGACTGGTGTGCAGAAATGTCTGCTGTTATCAACTGACTGGTGTGCAGAAATGTCTGCTGTCATCAACTCAGAAAAGGCGGCTGTTTTGTGTTGCTCTCTGAACAGTAGAATTGTGAAATCTTACCTTCCAAACCTCACAGTAAATAACAGTAACGTCAAAAGAGAAAGCAAACCGAGGTACTTGGGTATCATTTTCAATAGAAGCCTGTCCTTCAGGGATCATGTGGAGGCAGCTGCGATGAATGCCAAAAAAGGACTCAATGCTCTCAAGATTATGACAGCAGTGGACATGGAACAAAAACTTTTGTTCACAATGTTTAAGCATGGGATCCTGTCGGTGATGGATTATGGACTTGGCATGCTTACCATATCAAAGAGTCAGCTGATGAAACTTGAACGCATACAGCATGAAGCTATGCAGGTAATTTTTGGATGTACAGCAGATACCCCGGTAGTATGTATACGATATATACTTGCACTGCCTACTATTGCAGATAGGCTCAAAGTTCTACAAGCAAAGTCATATCTCAGAGTTGCTGAGAGGCACCTCCTAAAAGAAGCCGTGGATAGAGCTAAGGGTCACAGACTGAAAAGAGGAAAGTCTTGGATGACGCAAGCTAAAGATACAATTGGACATGTGTGCAGGCTTGATAAATGTAGGCGAGGAGAGCAGTGGTTCAGAGTGTCCGATCAGGTTTCAGACTTGTGTAGGGTTCTAATCACTTTGGGACGTGTGTGCAGGGACTAGCCAGCTGCAGAATCAGAAGTTTAACAAATGATTCATGAACGTTCCGCCCAAGTGATGCAATTGTATATACAGATGGCTCTGTTTTGAGGGGCAGACCATGTCATAGGGATTCATAGCGAAGGCGAATGGACGTCGCTTAGTGCAACAAAGCCTGACATATGATATCACAACGTCTAGTTTGAGAATGGAGGTGGAGGCAGTCACTGCTGTCTTCCGCTGGATTGAGAATCAGCTGTACACACATGCCGTGATTGTAACTGACTCACAGAGCATGTTGAGTAAGGTGGAGACAGGCATGCTCCGTGCAAAGCGACAAGCATCACTTCAGAGGTCTCGTGTAGTTAGCATCCTTTGGATATTTTCTCAGGTTATGCCGGTGTGTTGGAAAATGAGCAGGCAGATAGACTGACCGGTTCTACACCACTTGGTGGTGAACTGATGTATGACAAGCTGGATGTTGTGAGGGCCCTTATGGAGCGAGTGAACAGTGCCTAGGCACAGACAGATCATTACTGTCTGAGGCGAATGGCACTACGAGGAGTTACAAGGGGATCTGGCTGACTCAGGGGAAAGGCGGGGCGGATTTACAATCAGACAGTTACTGGTACCATCGGAATTTTAACTCTTCGCTTGCTGCTGAAGATGGGGATTTAGGGGGTGTCCCAAGTGCAGTGATGTCGATTCTTAATTCAACATTGATCTGGTGTTGCGAGCAAGAGACTTTAAAATTAGCAGATGTTGTAGGACATAATAAACTTAATTTCCAGACTGTATTCTAGATTGAATTCATCCTCTTAGTGTGTTGGAGCAGTTTAAGTTTGCACGCATCTTCTTATACGTTTCCGTTCTTTTGATTTTCATTTTTTCAATTTGCATGTGACCGGAGTTATTATCATTTCCATGTCTTGTTATTACCATATAATAACAGTACCTAATAATCAAACTAATAACAATCAAAAACATGATCAATAATAGAAAAAACATAATATTAAAATAAATAACAGTAAACAGATTAGATAATTCAACTTGTACTGAATAGAATCTTATCAAAGCAATGCCGCTATTTCTACGTCTTGAGCACAGAGTTAGCTTCATATTGTTTTAATGACATAAAGTTGTGAGCTTAGTGTCACAATCATGGCATACCAGATTCAAAGCCGTTGTTTTCAGTTTGGAAGCAGGCCGCAACGATTTCGACAACGTTATAAATGTTGTACCGTCTAGAAATCCCAGGTCTACCCAGCCTTGAGTGGGTACCGCGTGCAGTCCCGGGAAGTAAATGCGGCCAGCGTGATGCTGACCACATCATCCATCTTGTGCCGATTGGTCTATAAAATATAGGTCTAGCCCTATATGCCCTATACGCCTAGGCATGGAAAGGGTCCTTTACTCCCTCTCTCTCTTTCTTTTTACTTTTACCGTCTAGAAAGCAATAGCAAATTGCTGAACAGACAGCCAATTCTGTGGTTGGTTTAGGACGTTCTTTAAAGGACTTTCGGCTAACCAAAATCAAACCACTGAACGCCGTGTGGGTTCCAAGGCCCCATTTTGAGAGGCAAAAAAAAAAAAGATTATACCCTTGTCCCCTTTTAAAGCATGCCGTAAAGGCGACCAAGGGTATTTTCTTCCAATGTAGAGTTTATTTGTCTGAAGGCGAGGAACCAGTAGTCTGCATACAATTAATGTAAAATGGAAGTGCACGCAAAACTCAAGTTATGGAACAAGATCAAAGTCCAGGAAAAGACTAATGACCAGAACCTACCACCGGAGTTGTCACTGAGCGCTAAGAAGAACGAACGAACAAACTTTATTTTGAAAGGGTTACAAATTGGGCACGCAGGCACGTCTGACATTCGGCCCCTTTTTTTTTTTTTTTTTTTTGAAGAAGAAGCAGAAGAAAAAGAAAATATGGAAGCAAAAGAAGAAGAAGAAAATGTGGAAGCAAAAGAAGAAGAAGAAGAAAATGTGGAAGCAAAAGAAGAAGAAGAAAATGTGGAAGCAAAAGAAGAAGAAGAAGAAAATGTGAAAGCAAAAGAAGAAGAAGAAAATGTGGAAGCAAAAGAAGAAGAAGAAGAAAATGTGGAAGCAAAAGAAGAAGAAGAAGAAAATATGGAAGCAAAAGAAGAAGAAGAAGAAAATGTGGAAGCAAAAGAAGAAGAAGAAGAAAATGTGGAAGCAAAAGAAGAAGAAGAAAATGTGGAAGCAAAAGAAGAAGAAGAAGAAGAAAATGTGGAAGCAAAAGAAGAAGAAGAAATGTGGAAGCAAAAGAAGAAGAAGAAGAAAATGTGGAAGCAAAAGAAGAAGAAAATGTGGAAGCAAAAGAAGAAGAAGAAAATGTGGAAGCAAAAGAAGAAGAAGAAGAAAATGTGGAAGCAAAAGAAGAAGAAGAAGGTACTGTTTAACTTCACTGGCCCTTTGTTTACTCTCAAGGTCAACTGTATTCAAGAAATCTGTGGCATGATTCCATTTGCCCAAGAAAAAATGCCCGACCAGTTCTACAGGTTGTTCTCCTCACTCTTCCTCCATGGCGGGTACGTTTTGTTTTCTCTGCTTTTGCCCTTTTAAGAGTGGTTCTGTGTAGTTGTGGTTAACTGCCAGGCTGTGATATTTGTGCTTTTAAATGCATCACGAATAACTCGCCCAACCTTTATCTTTGTACCGGGTCATGCAGGTGTTCAAGGCGTGCAGATTGTCTGGCAGACATGGCCATGACCACGACTGGACCAGCACTGGACAGGAATGATGTCATTGATGCCATGCGAGCCGCAAATCGCAGAGAAGATCACGACAACAAACACCTTGAGCCCCCCCCCCCCCCCCCCCCCACCTCTTTCCCCCTAATTGTTTTAAACGCAAACTAAGAAAAAAATTATTGATGATGATGATATTAAAAGTAGAAATAATGTTGTAAAGTGAATGAGAGGCTCCTCATTCTGCATTTATGGAAATTCACTTTACAAGTACAGTATTTGTTTTTATATTTCTTATTATATCGAGCATATTACTATATTTCTTTGCCATTCAGAAGAATAATAATAAAAATAGTAATAATGATGTTAATAAAATGGGTTGTGTGACAAATACATATAATAATGTACTAGAGATATGAAATCTATAAACAGATACTTGTTAAAAGGAATGTCTATAAATGGTTAAAAGGAACCTCAGAGTCCCTTAAAAAGAAAGCTATTAGGGAGTGAAGTTCAGTTCCCTACCCCCATCGATTTTCAGTGGGCCTCAGTGGGGCCGAGCACCCTCCCCCCCGTGTGCCCGCGCCTGCTTCTAACAGTTGTGTCCGTAACAATTGAACATACGTGGTCTGCGAACATTGTCAGCAAAGTAATGAACCTTTGTTAGGCCATTGGCACGTCGGGCATACATATATTTTTATGTTATTACAATCGACCTCACCGTACATTGGGCATTCCCCTGCGTGCTCAGTCCTCCGTCGCAGCAACTACCGCACGGTCCCTCTACTGACTGTTCCCGCGAAACGTTGGTTATAATGTCTCGTCCTGAAAGACGGCACCGACGAGTTTCACCAGGCTTCAATCCGAGTTCATGCAATCGTTTTAGCGTCAGACGGTTCGTTGCCAGTCTAGCCCGTGTAGCGTTGATGATATCTGCTGTTATCTGCTCTGTGCTCGCATCTTTCTGTATGTAGTGGTGCAGTACTTGTCAGCTGGTCCGCTCGTTAATTGCATTTTACTCCGACATTCTCAGGTGTGTAGATAAAGGTGGGGGAGGTTCTTCTTTTGTTCACTGAAAATAGATTATCTATATTTGCAATGTTGTCTCTAGTATGAACTTCAATGTCTTTTGAAATTCACTCAGCAACCCGTACAGTTTGACTTGCAACGATGTTTCTCTTGGCCATAAGTTTTGCTCTGAAATGTTGTATTTGGAACAGTCTCGGAGGATATGATTTGTTGTCTCAGGTGCCAATCCACCCGCACACCTTTCTGATTGGCCGATTTTAAATTGTGTGTACATGTGGCTGCCAAGTGGACTGTGTCCTGTTCTAAGGCGTAGACTATTAACTTGCTCTGCTCTGTCCATAAACTGGTCATCGTCTTGTGCCGGTTTTGGTGACTTTCTGACAGATTTGATTATTCTCGTCTTTTGTTGGTGAGGGAGGTCAAGTGTGACCTTCCAATGCTTTCTATCTATAGAGAGCGCAAGTTGCCTGTTGAGATGTTCTGAAGCGTCTTCATGGAGTTTGACAAGATTACCGCATGTGTGTGGCTGGTTGTTTCATGTTTGTCGTAGAAAAATCAACACTTTATCGGTAATGTGATTTCCGCCAGCTCACTCCACTTTACTTCTCTAGTTATTTTCTAGTACCCATGTAGGCTGAATCAGCCAAGGAGCTGTATCTCAGTTATACCTGTACCTGATGCAGGCACCGACTTTAGAGCTTCTGGTCAGCAAGAAAGCTGTTAGCAGCTGTGGTACCGCAGCTGTCACAGAAACATCAGTGATCAGGGGATCCGGTCGACACTCGACGCCCAGAGAAACATCAGTGATCAAGGGATCTGGTCGACACTCGACGCCCAGAGAAACATCAGTGATCAAGGGATCTGGTCGACACTCGACGCCCAGAGAAACATCAGTGATCAGTGGATCTGGTTGACACTCGACGCCCAAAGAAACATCAGTGATCAGTGGATCTGGTCGACACTCGTCGCCCAGAGAAACATCAGTGATCAGTGGATCTGGTCGACACTCGACGCCTAAAGAAACATCAGTGATCAGTGGATCTGGTCGACACTCGACGCCCAGAGAAACATCAGTGATCAGTGGATCTGGTCGACACTCGACGCCCAGAGAAACATCAGTGATCAGTGGATCTGGTTGACGACTCGACGCCCAGAGAAACATCAGTGATCAGTGGATCTGGTTGACGACTCGACGCCCAGAGAAACATCAGTGATCAGTCGATCTGGCTGACACTCGACGCCCAGAGAAACGGCATGACTTCAGACTTCATGACTACTTATATATTTATATATATATATATATATATATATATATATATATATATATATATATATATATATATATAAACAGATATGTTTTGATCGGTGCTCGTAGAAAGAAGTAGAAAAACAGAATGGTTGTTGAAGATAGGATTTTCACAAGTTCTGTGCCGTTCAGTTCACTGGTCAGTTTTTACGCAGATCCTTGGGAATCGTCGCCGTAGCTAGGGAGGTCGTGCTCTGTGCGACGCTCTCGAAAGGCGACTGGTTGATCAGCGCAGAAAGACTGAGCGGTGAAATGAAGTTTACCCTCTTCCCTTCACCTTTACCTTTCACAAGCTTTGTGATGTCACTTCTTAACATGAGACTCGGCTTAATGAAACAGTGCAGCGTTATTGAGTATACGCTTGTGTAAATAAAAAGTGTACCATATGTGACATGTTTGTTCTCCAAATGTTCCAGAGTGGTGCACCTGGGGATGTCTATCGTCTTCCAGATGTGGATCATGAGGGATCTGGAGAAGTTGCTGGGAACTATCCGGATGATTACTATTTATTTTGGGTCTGGAGTGGCAGGAAACCTGGCCAGCTGTACATTTCTTCCCTACGCCGTAGAGGTTGTATTTTTAGTGCTTATTTAGTGTGTACCTTGTTGTTGGCGTCTGCATGTCCGTCCAGGCAATAGTACTATATTGCGTTATAAGGAGGCAGGGCAGTTACACCCCATGGTCATGCGAATGTGGCCACCATAACGATCTAGTGTTAAGTAAAGTTTATCAAGAGCATATCATTAATTTTCTGTCGATGATAGAATATTGTGTTTGTAGATCAGGAAAAGGCTTTTGATAGAGTGAATATAATCAAACAGTGGTCTGATCTTGAGAACTACAGGGTACAAGGACAGTTACTAGAGAACATCATAGCCATGTACCACAGAAGCCAAAGTGCAATAAAAACACAAGAAGGCATATCAGATATGTTCACAGTCAACACAGGTGTAGACAAGGATGTGTGCTCTCCCCACTTTAATTTAATATCTTTACAGACAGAATATCTAAAGAATCAGGTTCTGATACAGACAACATAGACCTTTATAATCATAAGGAAGTACACACATTAGGAGAAGTTATCGATTCACCCACATTAAACGAACTACTATTTGCTTACGACCAGTGCTTGTTCTACCCTGAAGAAGATAAACTGCAAGACCGCAACCAGGTGTCAGCATGCAATAAATACAACATGAAGATCAATGTAAACAAAACCGAAACAATGCAAGTTAGTAGAACCCCTGCCCCACTACACATACAGCTGAATGTTTCTGCCCTGAATCAAGTTAGGGAGCTTAAATATCTAGGAAGTATGATCATAGAAGATGGTAGAATTGACAGAGAAATAGAAACCAGATGTCAGAAAGCAAGTGCACTTATATACCAATTGACATCCAAGCATAACTATGAGTGCAAAGAGACGGATTATTAACAGCATATTCATTCGAAAATTAAGCTACCAGTGCCAAACATGGACACTATCTAGAGCCCATACGCAAAATCACCACCTGCGAGATGAGGTGACTAAGAAAAGCAGCCAACCTAACCATCCGAGATCGCGTTAATAATGAAACTATCAGGCACACTGGGGTAACGACACATGGTACTAGATTCATCGAGAAACAGCAGATCAAGTGATTTAACCATCTCGTTAGAATGCAGCAAGATGAAATACCATCACAAGCACTACATTTCAGAAGATCAGCTACAAGAGCATGAGGACGTATCCGGAAAATATAGATCGACAACATTAAAGACACTCTACGCCTTCACGGCATGACAATAGCCAGTGGCAGCCAACGTGCATTGGATCGCAAATTATTCCTCCCCAAGGCGTTTAACGGCAGAAGTGGTTTATGCCCATGATGCTGATGATGATGATGATGATGATATTCATTGAAAAACGGATGTGGTGAAGGCTCCAATAGACAACGCAGAAGAACAGATAGGGTATCCGTACACTGAAAGACTAATTAAACAGTGGGTGTGTAGATGTTCTGGAAGACATACAAGATTAAAAGATAAATAGAGGACCTTTAAACACACACACAAACACACAGGCACACACATATACATGTATCTTTATATACATAGATACACATACTAAGAACAATGACATTGACACAACACATACACACAAAAAGAACACACACACAGACACAACACACAAGGACAACGAACATAACACACACACAACAAATGCCGACACATAGACACAACGGAATCGGCACCGATTTTACTGTAGAGGCTAGACTTCTGCTGTCTTGGTTTCTCGATCCACAAAAAGTGGATTTCCGAATAATCCACAGGTCCACCCAGTTTACAGTGGGTACCAAGAAATATGATGTGAAGTAAATATGAAGTAAAAATAGATGGCTTGATGTTGTTAATTCTTTATGTCTGTCCTAATGGTGCACATACATTATCATATACATAGTGTTGTCCTTCTTGTACCGTCAGATTTAAAGCACTTCGCTGGCTATCGAAGATGCGGATGGAGCGCATATGGAAATATCCAGAGTGATCTTAGTTATTCACTCAATTCATATTTAGGGGTGGGGGAGGGGGAGGGGAGTGTTCCTAGTGTAAAATAATGGCTGTGTTTTTGCCCTGTGTGGTATATACTAGGGCTGTACCGAATATTCGCTTCGTATTCGCTTCGGGGCCGAATAGTGGACCGAAGGACTATTCGGTATTCGGCCAAATAGTTGCGGTCGGGCCGAATACGAATAGTGGTTACATTACACCCATTTCTGCATACACTGCGATGGACTGAAAAAACTCTCTCATTAACACAATAGTTACTGTTGCCTAAGTCTGTCGTAGCGGGGGAAACTGCGACCCGGCTGCGTGGTAATTACTACATTTTATAAAATGAAGAACATCTAATGCAATATATCTTTGCCATTGAAGATTAGAAAAATAATTCTTGCTTGCTACATACATCCAGTTTTAGCATATGGTTGTAAGTCCTGGACAATCGGTAGGCAGGCCAAAAATTTCTCTAGGCTTCAGAGATGTAGTTTTATAGAACAATGCTCAAAATACCTTGAACAGCCAAAAAAAATAAATCAAGAGATTTTGAAAGAGGCGGGAGCCCGAAGACAACTAATCACAGACATCAGAAAGAGACAGTCGTCATTTTAGGGCCATGTGATAAGAAGAGGAAAAATGAAACATGTGGTGACTACTAGAAAGATGTGTGGAAGGAGGGATAAAGGAAGACAACGAAGAAGATTCTTGACAGTCTTGTTACATGGCATGAGGGTGTGTCAGCACACGAACTAATACTTGCTGCCGCAGATCGTAAATTGTGGTGAGGCATAATCACCCACGTCAGTCAGCAAGGCACCTGATGATGATGATACACTATTCGTATTCGGCCGAATAGTTGGTCCCAATATTCGTATTCGGTCGAATAGTGAAAATCACTATTCGGTACAGCCCTAGTATATACGTAGTTTCATTTCTGTAACTTTATTTTAACTTGCCCAATGTGCTATATACATAGTTTCATTTCTGTAACTTTATTTCAACTTGCGAAATGTGCTATATACATAGTTTCATTTCTGTAACTTTATTTTAACTTTCCCAATGTGCTATATACATAGTTTCATTTCTGTAACTTTATTTTAACTTGCCCAATGTGCTGTATACATTGTTTCATTTCTGTAACTTTATTTCAACTTGCCCAATGTGCTATATACAGTTTCATTTCTGTAACTTTATTTTAACTTGCCTAATGTGCTATATACATAGTTTCATTTCTGTAACTTTATTTTAACTTGCCAAATGTGCTATATACATAGTTTCATTTCTGTAACTTTATTTCAACTTGCCCAATGTGCTATATACATAGTTTCATTTCTGTAACTTTATTTCAACTTGCCCAATGTGCTATATACATAGTTTCCTTTCTGTAACTTTATTTTAACTTCAGGTTGGACCATCAGGAGCACATTTCGGCGTTGCTGCGTGTCTGTTTGTGGAAGTGATACAAAGCTACCAGATGTTCAAACACCCTCACTTGGCGATTATGAAGCTCTGCCTGCCCATCGGGCTGCTCTTCCTCCTGGGCCTCTTTCCCTGGGTGGACAACTGGGCGCACCTGTTTGGGTTTTTCTTTGGCTTTCTGCTGGCCTTCTCTCTGATGCCTTATGTGACGTTTGGTCACTTCGACAGACGTCGTAAACTGATCACCGTGTTTGCTTGCCTGGGAGCATCCGTTGTACTGTTTGCTATGTTGATCGTCATATTCTACTTCGCCCCGCTGACTGACTGCCAGTGGTGTCTATATTTCAACTGCATCCCATTGACTGCAGAGTTCTGCGATAATATGTCTGTTCGACTCAAGACGAATTCTTCTTACTACAAACTGGTTTAAGTACAGTATGCATTGTTGTTGTACTAGCTGTAGTTTGTAGCACAGCAACTAGTGGGTCTCCAGCCTGGTAGCCCGCAAGGTGGTTTTAAAGTGGGTCTCACGCCATTTTTAAAGTGAGTGTATTTGTACTTGTTAATAATCCGTTATACTTACATTTTCTTTTACTTTTAATTATAAATAAAATATGATAAAACAAATATTAAACGCGAGGACCAAGGAATTTATACTGTCATGAGCAGTCTGCAAATCTACAGCTAAAAATCAAATGAACATGAAAACACACGCATTTGATTAGACTGAGAAACAACCGACCCGGCTGCCTCGAGATACCAGCTAAGTGATTTTGTGTTTCTGTGCAGTATTGTTTCATTTGTAGGTGCTGATGAAGGCTCAATAGCCGCAACGTTCACGTTTTGTTTGTATTTGTTATATTATGAAGCTTGCTTATATACTTTTCGTTCGGTTTTATATCTTTTCTTGATATTTTTAATTACAGATTAAAAACACATTTTGATCAAAACGTATCTCCATACTGTTTCTCTGTCTTGTTGCGGAATCTATTGTCCTCTTTCTCATCACATTTTGTTATATTGAGGGCGTGGGGCGCCTTGCTATGCACTAAAGGGGGTAAGGCAGGGGCGCTACCTGAAGACAAAAGCATCTGGGATATTTTAAGCCGGTTTAAATTCTGCTGTCTGCAGCAGACTTCTCTGATAGTATAAAATATTTGACTGAAGAGAAATTGTACTTACTTTACATTTCTGTAATTACAATATGCATTATTATTTAGTCTGTGTCCACCACCCTGTTTGTGTGTGTGTTCAACCCCGTTTGTATGCATGTTTGAATGTTTAACGCTATTTATGTGTGTTCAACCCATTTAAGTGTGTTCAAACTTGTTTGTGTGTGCTCAGCCATGTTTATGTGTGTATGCATGCAGCCTCGTTTGTGTGTGCTGAGCCATGTTTATGTGTGTATGCGCCCAGCCTCGTTTGTGTGTGCTCAGCCGTGTTTATGTGTGTATGTGTCCGGCCTAGTTTGTGTGTGCTCAGCCATGTTTATGTGTGTATGTGTCCGGCCTAGTTTGTGTGTGCTCAGTCATGTTTATGTGTGTATGTGTCCGGCCTAGTTTGTGTGTGCTCAGCCATGTTTATGTGTGTATGCGCCCAGCCTCGTTTGTGTGTGCTCAGCCGTGTTTATGTGTGTATGTGTCCGGCCTAGTTTGTGTGTGCTCAGCCGTGTTTATGTGTGTATGTGTCCGGCCTAGTTTGTGTGTGCTCAGCCATGTTTATGTGTGTATGCGTGCAGCCTCGTTTGTGTGTGCTCAGTCAGGACCGGCTCCAGCTGACGGGCCTTGCTGCTGACGTCACTGGGTCGGGCTAACTATGCGTTAAAGCAGCGGTTCTCAGACTGGGTGCTGAGCCAGCCTGGGGTGCAATAAGCGTATGCCAAGGGTACCGCGGCAACCGTCAAGAAAAGTCAGCTAAAAATTTGAAATAATTAAAGTAGGTATGAAGATGCCTAAAAGCTAACATTAAAGTTGTCTTTCCTCGCCACTGGCGAAATTAGTTTATTTCTTGCTTGAGAACCAACGCGTTAACGCATCGTTAGCCCGACCCGGTAACGTCAGCAGCAGGGCCCGTCAGCTGGAGCCGGTCGTGGCTCAGCCATGTATATGTGTGTATGCATGAAGCCTCGTTTGTGTGTGTTCAGCCATGTTTATGTGTGTATGTGTGCAGCCTCGTTTGTGTGTGCTCAGCCATGTTTATATGTGTATGTGTGCAGCCTCGTTTGTTTGCTCAGCCCAATGTTCAGTTCCATTGTATATGCATAATCAGTCTGCACACTGCTGGTTGGACCAAACATTTCGACTGATGTATTCTCCCATATGTTGGGTATACTATGGTGGACCAATGTGTTTTTGTTAACTAACTAGCTCTCGCTAATTGATGTGTTGACTGTTATACTCTCATGAGAATTATGCTGTGAGAGTCGTCGTGTCGTTGGCGTCTAGACGCCGACTTGTGGATCGGAAGGTCGTGGGTTCGCGTCCCGACGAAGCCAGACTTTTTTTCAAAAATGACCTTGACTCCTAGTTGGACCCAGCCTTGGACCAGGTGCATTTCTGGGAAGTAAAGGCGGCCGGCCTGGTGCTGACCACATCACCCACCAAGTGCCGATTGGTCTATAAAAATATAGGCCTAGCTCTATATTCTAAAGGCGTGGAAAAGGGACCTTTACTTTTAGTATTATGTTGTGGTTGTTATCGCACTGTGTTGTTTACTATATGCTGGTCAGTATTGTACAGTGGTCATTATAACATTATAGCCAGTGTTGTGCTGTTGTCACTATTACATTGTGGTCAGTATTGTACTGTGTCGTTATTACGTTGTGGTCATATTACACGACGGTCAGTATTTTAAGTGATTATTAGATTGTGGTCGGTTTTTTCTGTAATCATGATTAAATAGTGTCAGGGGTCAAGAAGCGGGTGGCAAGGTCAGAGCACGTGTTTATAAAGGTCATTCAACTTGCGCTGACAAGCGTGCTTATTTGTACTTCTTATGTTGGCCTCCGACTCACTGAGCTTGATAAGTACCAAGAGGGCTAGTTCGACGTTAGTCTCCCCAGAGCCCGCCCATATACACATTAGCTCACTTCTGATTGGTAGTTCCTGAACTGCGCGTCCTTCGCACTCTGCTACGGGGGTGTTCCGCAATTCCGTTGATATCGTGTGTTGTATATTTAAGTACGCCAGCGCTTTTAACGCTACAAAAACATGGACAAACTAGGTCTAACACAACCTTCATAGAAAGTGTTGCAACCCATGTCACAGGAATTCTCTGTCTCGGAATGAAAACGTGAATGCAAGACATCACAGAAACCAAACAAGAAAGCGGAACACACCTGTAAACTTCACGAAAGTCGACCAACCAGACAAAGTTAATGAACACTGACCTACTTTGTTTGGGTAGACTAACGTCGAACTAAATACCAAGAGTTATGAGTTCATTGTTGACACACTGAAAGCACATTAATTTTGCAGTCACGGTCAGATGACAAGAGGAACAAACACTATCAGAATGTGGTCACAATTCACACGAGAAAGTCTGATGACATACGACATGTACAGCTCTGTTACTATTCACTTTAATATCCAAAGAGCGCCGAGACATGGTAATAAAAACGGTGAGGGACAACGAAAACGAGGTTCGGGTCCAGAAAGCAGCCCAGCAGTCGCAGCAGGGCCATTGGGTCAGCCTGGAGAGCGCATTGCCAAGAATACTCACATGGGGTGAGATCTGGCGGATGACCCCGCTGCGACTGAGCTTTATCGTTCGTTCGGCGTACGATGTATTACCGTCCGGTGTTAACATGGTTAAATGGTCTGCGACCAACGATCCGACCTGCCCGTTGTGTAAATCGAAGCAAACTCTTGAGCACGTCCTGTCCGCGTGCAGGAAAGCCCTAGGTCAAGGCCGATACACATGGCGACACAACAAGGTGCTAAAAGAGTTAGCAGCCGTTGTCGACCAGGCTAGAATGAGGGCTAATGCCAGAGCCAGTTCTAGCATCGTCCCCATTCGTTTCCTCAAGGCTGGTCAGGTTCCAAAAGGTAAGGTCAACCAAAACGCATTCGCTCCATCTGTGCTAGACTCTGCGAAGGACTGGTTACTGGCGGTTGATCTGCCAGGCCATGAACGGTACCCCGAGTTGATCCGTAAAACCGGCCTGCGACCGGACATCGTTCTCCATTCTGCGCAAAAACGGCAGCTCATCCTGATTGAGTTGACTGTCCCGTTTGAGTCGCGTATGGAGGAGAATCATTTGTACAAGCTCGAGAAGTACAGTGATTTAGCAGCCGGTCTAAGGAGAAACGAGGCTTACACTGTACGGGTATTTGCCGTCGAAGTGGGAGCGAGAGGCCTCGTTTCCACTTCGCTCTACAATGTGGTGAAAGAACTAGGATTGCGCGGTAATGAACGGAAACGAACACTAAAAAAAACTGGGAGAGGTGGCCGAAAGGGCCTCTAGCTGGCTTTGGACGCAGCGCAACAACGTAGGGGACGGGCCTCGGTGAGCTGGTCCGGGTGTCTAGTGGAAAAGAGTTTCTCATCCCTTTGAAAGTCCATCGTGTCCGAATTGTCTGCCAGTGTTCCTCTGCCAACTGCTAATAAAAGTCCAACATGTGTCCGGTAAACCAAAGTAAGCTTGTCGCTCGGTCGTCCAGGCACGCTGACTGCACTAATTAGGCTGCCGTGGCGGCTTCTTATCTCACAGTACCTCCTTCGAAACCACCAAGTCGTCTTGTCTCTGGCCGAAAGAATAACACCATCCGGTAATTCCGTACAGCGGGGAACCAGCCCTGAGCTTCATGAACTCAGGAGGGCCCACCTCCGAATGCGTCTAGGAATCGTGGGGCGAAACGCGTGTCGACGAGGATAATTTCTACTGATGACTGGTAGATTCCCGCTGTACTTGCTCCCTGTGAGTTTATTCCTATCCTATAATTGCTACATCATTCTAAATAACTCAACATATTAGCTAACTCAGTCTAACACCGTAACTAAAACCATAATTCGTGTGGCATGGCCACACTGGAGTTGTCCAGCCGTCCACTAGAACGTCAGGTGAACGACTGTCCTAAGCCCCTTCACAGCTCGAGCTCACTTCCCAGGTAGTTCACGTGAGCCGTGTGCACACCATGTTCCGTGCTTTGTTAGCAGTCCCATATTCACTCAATCTCCACACCATACCACGTTCATGACACATAGTAGTCAGCATTATGATGTGGCCACTGTTACACTTCGGTCAGTATTATGTTGTGGTCACATTTACTTTGTGATCGATGAAAGTTATGGTAACTTTTACATTGTGATCAGTATTATATGATCACAGTTAAAAGTTACAAATATTAGGGTGTTTTACGTTCATATTTTGGTCAGTCAGTATTACGGTGAAGTCACGTTTACATTGTAGTGGGTATTATTGTGTAGTCA